GGCCTTTGGGCCATGCTTTTCGGCTCGCCAATAAAATACTTGACTACACATTGCGAAACTTTGGTTATATCTGAAAGGTTGATTGTTGCCCTGTGTCTCGAACACTGACGGAGGGGCGCGAAAAATCAGTGTCTCGCCCGTCCGTGAGATAGTAAGCACTCTAAGCTCATGGCAATTTTGAAAGTCGCCAAATTACAGCTTACCCGAAGAGGTATATACCGGTATGATAGAGCATCACAGACCAAGAGTGACCGTTTCCCCGCTCGGGCTCTATGAGTAGTACCAAAAAAAACGGGTAAGTTACTCTATGCACGCACCCCCGGAGATCGACCACATCAACCTGGTGCCCACCTAGTACTAGTACAATGCTAGCGGCTGGGAAAAAGTCAGGCGCACTTTCAAGAGATGTGGCACTTATATTTACTCGTAAACCAGGCCAGCTTAAGGGGTTAGAGTGATATCGAGTGAGCATGTATTGGTGATGGTAAAGTGTCGGGCACACTTTCGGGAGGGAGAAGTGGCTGTTAACACACTGGGGAAGGACCTGAAGGCTTTGCGTTACCGCGGCGGAAATACCCTTACACCCGGGTCCTCCCCCGCAGGTTGGGCAAGTTACCATGCAAAACCACATCCACCTCCATACTCCGCGGAAGCATGAATTGCGATTTAGTAAGCACTCTACTCCGTAAGTACCATATGATACCGCATGGTAACAGACAGACAAGTGGGCGGGTGACCTTTGCCAAGAACAGAACAAAAAAGGGAGCTTATATCATACTTCAACCGATCATTTCGTTATATAAAATATCATTCCGGGCGCCCAAACCGAACGAACGAAGGAAATCCTCATATTATGGGCCTTTCCCACAAAGGGAGAAACTGCTGCGACACAAAACACTATTCTGTATCGTGCCCGAATTCCCTACTCAACCTATTGCAGTACCCTCGGGGCCCCAACGGTCCGCCGTACTGTACTTGTACAGCGCGCGTAACCGCAGCTACGGCACCGGGGCGCGGCATACCGGCGGTGTATGTACAGCACCAGCACCGTACAATCCATGTCGTCAACTAGTCCGCATGTTCCAATTCCCGCAGGCCAAGGACTTTTGTGCGGATCGATGGATTGGGCGCCCCCTTACCGTTAGAGAAATGTGTTGATCGGTATTGCCACCGCGTCTACCCGCCCGGCAAGCACGGGGACTTGGGAGAGGGATAAGTTATTTGAGTACGCTGCTGCAATCATACTCGAGCAGGCAAAACACCACGCACGAAGCGGAGACTTAATTTGCTCAACAGCTCGACCAGGGAACGAGGCCTTGTGGTACTGGAGAAAAGGTTATTCATATTCAGAGAGCTTGGAGAAGCAAAAAATGAGGACTCTTTTTTTTTTTACCCCGATTCCGGCGGTTCGGCGGAGTAGAAAAACTAAACTGTACTGGGAGGAAAACGATTCATGTTCAGGAAGCTTGGGGGAGGGGAGGGAAGGGGGGCATGTTTCTACCCCAATCCCTGCAGTGCGGGGAAGCAAGCCACCTATGTATGATAACGTTATTAATTTCGGGGCATGGAGAAGTACCATCCGGTACAAGTACGGTACGGTGCCAGCGCTAGTATGATACAGTACCTGCCAAGACCGCAGGCTTCTGGCTTCTGGAGAACCCCATACCCGCCCATCCATTCCAAACAGCCACAGCTTCATCTCCGCACCCAGCCAAAAAAAGAACTTGGGGAAGCCTCGTACCCGTACAACACGATACGCAATCCTCCCGCATCCAATACTCGTACAGACATACAATACCACTCGAGTAACTCTTGAAATCCACTATCTCCGTCAGAACCCTGTAATCTTCGGATTGCGCCACAAAAACCCCCAACAAGGACTAGCATTTTCCTGGAATAGCAAAAGATCAGCCCACCGGATGAGTTGGATCTCATTAACCGGTATTCGCAATTTTGCTAACCTGTCAAGCTAAACCTATCGTGGGATCACGGGCTGCCGGAGATAGTGGATTACAAGAATTAATACGGTACTGGCATCCAGTCCATGATCGTCGCAATCCCCTGGTAACAGAACCCTGTTCCTGGAACCTTCCTTAAATGGAATAGTATAGTGAACGACCGGGTAACAGGATTTAACGTATCTACGAGTACATGGCGTTCTGTTATCGGTGTGGGCATTTGCGTCTAATCCTCTAACCGGTAAACCTCACCTGCACACACAGTCCCGCAAAAAATGTTGGTTTTCCGTATTGCCCGTTTGACACTTTCCCACCAACCCCGTGTTATTCACCGCAGACCTCTTCATCATCTCCATGACTTGAGTTTCGTTCACCCTACCCGTATGTTTCAACCATTTTCCTCGCAAGTAAGTACAAAATCAATTGTGTTTGTTGGGTGATGTGTGAGCACTTACATTGTTGTTAAGCAATAGCCCTCAATCAATGAGAATGTCTCCGGTGTACTTGCCATTTTCAAAAGTATCTGGAAATCGGGCAAATAGCTTGGCAGCACGGGCAACCGCACTACCTATTTCCTTCATTGGGTGCGAGAGTGAGTAGCAAAATGCGGCAGAACCCTCCGACAGTGCTCCTTGAGCATTTATACTACGTTTCCGTCTTGAATCTTCTACTTGTATTCGAGTACATAGTTGGACCGAAGGGGACGATAACTGCCAAGCCGAGCCCGACTTCCAGACACTATTGAAAACGGCAAGTACAGATATAAGACCCGACTAATGAGATCCCGAAGTCTAAACGGTAATGTTTAGGATTATAACACCAATCCTTTAAGGTTTCAATATTCTAACCATCTTCCAGGCATTCAACACCATGACCGATGATCGATTCATTATGCTTGAGGACCGATTGCAGAAGAGCTTGGAAAGGAGCATTGAACCATTGAAGGACTCCATCGAAGAACTTCAAACATGGGTCAGGTGGATTATCGGGACTTTTGGCATTGGGGTATGTTATTACTGGCAGTCGATTTTTGGTAAACCGTGTGAGCCCTTAGCTAGGCACGACGGGTCTTGGTGGCAAAAACCCCTGCCGTTAACTACAGTACCGGCATGTTGAGGAAGGGGCATGAAAAGGCAGGGCGAGATGGAGGAGAGGCTCACCAAAACAATACAAAATTCTATAACCCAACTCAAACTAGAGTTGAAGCTTGAGCACCAAACAAAAACTGTGTCTGACAGTGGCCGGCACTGGCGGAATTAACGGGGTCAGGAGGGGATTTCGTTTTCTCTTTTCGTTTAATGGTGTCTGGCACTAGAAGGTTTTTTTAGAAACTGGAATAGGACTTAGAATAATTGCTAGCGTTAGCTTAAGATCGGTCCATGATTAATTCAAACTAAAGGATTCCGATCACTAAGTTATTGAATTTACGTTCTTGTTTTGTTGATTTTGTGGGGGGGTCCCGCCACCGGAGCCCAGCGTACTCGTACAACAAGTACAGTAAGAATTCGTGAAATCCGCTATCAGATTATCAGTGCGAATCAACCTGTATGCCTGCGATAGGTTTAGATTGACAGGTTAACGGAATTGCGAATACCAGTTGACGAGATCCAACGCGTCTAGTGGGCCGACCTTACACCGTGTTAGGAAAACGCTAATCCTTTATATGAGCTTTTGACTTAGAATCCGGAGATTAGGGGGCAAATGGAGATAGTGGATTGCACGAGGTCTTACGGGTACTGGTAGAGAAAGGCCGGAGATTCAAAGTGACCAAGCAAAAGTCTTGGAAATAGCATCAGCCACTGACAACATAGCCCTGTTATCTCGACTCGTAGCGTTAGACTATCAGCACTTGAAGTGCCTTGTGCCTTTGCCAATACCCCCCCTCCACGGCACAAAGTACCGGTGCTCGAGTACTCGAGTACTCGTACTGCCATGCCAGAGCGCGGATCAAAAAAGGGATCCCGGGACACCCCAAAGAGGGATCTAAAAATAAATAAAAAAAAGTACCACTCTCGGACACTAGCGTAAAATATCCCTCCTACTTGCAAGAGTGGGGTATGTTTCCATCTTTCCTTCCATCTGCCCTTCCATCCTTGTAATACATCAATCAATCTCGCACCAATCAGCGATCCCCTCCCCCTTCCTCCTCCTCGAATAAAAACCTCAATTTCTGTGGGCAGCGCTTCGACCGTGTGGGGTACCGGTACTTGTACATAATCTCGTGCCCGCCCCATTCCATCACGACGCCACGTTCCCGAACGATTGGAAGACGAACATCGAGTGCAAGCTCATGAATGACCCTGGCGAAACCGGCTATCCAGGATACCCTAGATAGCCCGGAGTCGACGTTCACACCACGGCACGCACGAGTGTGTGCGTGTGTTCTACTTTACGATGCCGGGCTCAATTACTAAGCTTGTAGTATGAAGAATAGCCGACGGAGAATACACCGGCACGCACGCGAAGTGTCGTGGGGAAACCAGCTGCCTACCCTAAGAAGAAAATTATGGGGGTGGGTTTGGGTGTATCGCATTACATTGTGTCGTGCTGTTTCGTGCATGCGCCGCAGGTAGGCGGGTACCGTACTCGTAGTTTATTGGCATTTGCGGACATACCGCCAAATTTTAGCCTTTCTGCTCGGATCCGGGCGATATGATAGCAGTTACAGTCGCACCTCGCTGTAACGAATGCCAAGAATTTAGGTTTTTTCGTTCGCTATAGCGAGGTTTTGAACGGAATCCCTTATAACGAGAGCTGTTTGTATGAGAGCAAGGGGGTAGATTCACAGAGCATTCGTTCGTAATAGCGAGGCTTCCCTTATAACGAGATCCATTATAGCGAGGTGCGATTGTAATTACCTTCACAAACGTCACCCCGTTGCGAGAGTAGGTAGATTCGCCGACAGTCTGCTCCTATTGCTACCGTATGCGATGTGAGGCGGTGCTTCCGTCCTCTTGGCGTTCGTAAGGGATAGGATGAGGAGGATGGCTTGAACTCTTACAGATGTTTTTTATACTTATATTTATATTTATATTTATATTTCTATGTTTGTTGCGGGGTATTGGCGGGGAACCGCTTTTGCACACCGTCAGCGAGTGATCGTTCCTGATTGGTGTTATGCCTCGTCTTGTCCGAATGTATTAAGGGGTTATAGTTATAGAGCAACCGTTGTAAGAGGGAAAAGAAAAGAAAATAGGGAAATTTTAAAAAAAGGGGGATTAGGAAAAAAAAATTCACATGTATGATATCCCGACTAAGTATTGCATCGTGCGTTTAGCGATGCCTTGCGCGAGTTAGGTTAGGGGACGAACTAAATGAAATCCATTACTATCACCAACACCCCCAATCGTGCTACTCTAATTCGAGGACGATTCCGGATCCCCAAACGTCTTATGCCCTCTTTCCCAAATATGAACTCCTGAGTTTGAGAAACAAGATATGGACCGAGCCATAAAATATAGTAATGATAGGAATAGTCCAAGGGGACATAAACATAGTGCCTTGTTTTCTTGGCTAAGGAAATCCTTCCTTACGCATGCGTTGTCACCTGCCCGTCTCGCTCCCCTCGCCTGCTGAAGATGAAGCGTCCTGCCGTAGCTCAGACGTTGTTGAGCTGGAACTTGGTCTGGGGGGAGCGTTGCTCGCTTCCTGGTCGTCGTCAAGAGTGACTACCGAGATTGCGTATTTCGATTGACACCTGCCAACCAGGCTTCGATAGTACTCATCCAGGACCTCTCCCTTCGGAACGATCCTCCACCCCACCCTTACCAGAAATTCCAATTCCAGCAAATTAAGCTCCATTAAACTGACACCCCCAACCTTTGCGTAGAACCCATTGGTCAAAAACGAGTCGCAGAGCCCCTTGGTCGCTACAGTCGCAGCTGTGATGAGAAATCGATGGACAGTTAGTGAGGAGACAACGAACGGAGGATAATGTGTTGAGAGTATATCAATGTAGTAGACCATTGATAGAAGGATTGATGGCTGGAGCGAGGCGTGGTGGGCTAGACGAGAGAGGTAATCGGGGATTGAGATAGTCGGGGGCGCTCTATCATATACACAAATCAGCGGGAGATCTCCGGAGAAGGTTCTGGAAGATCAGACTGTACCTGGAGTGGAATCTAGTCAAACCAGCACCGGATAGTGGAATCTTGTCATTTAAACCGACCAATTCAAGAAGCATGTCGCTTATCAGGTAGACAAGATCCTGGGTGGGACAGTGCTGGTATAGTGAAGGTAAATATTTGACCGAAGGATCTGAATGCCGAGGGCGTTTTGGGGGAGATGAGGATTTAGGATGGCGCTCGGTAGGGGCAGAAGAGGCAGTAGGTGCTTTGGGTGCTGGAGATAGGGTAGATGAGACGGATGGGGTGGAGTGGGCGGCTACCGGAGTGGCTGGAGGGTTCATAGCGGAGTGGTGGTGAGAGGTCTTTGAAGCCGAGGGAGGCGAAGAGGAGGAGGACGGTAGCCTCGGTGTTTGCGGTCTCGACGAACGGCGTTTCGAGTTTGCTGGCGGTGAGTTGCTTGTTGTCTTTGGCATTGCTTGTCCACCTTTCGGTGACCAGGCGGTAAGAGAAGGAGATTTGACATATTGCGGGTAGGAGGGCGATTTGAAATCGGCGGGAGAAAGCGACTTGCTCGAGGAGGGGCGGGTGATAGTCTCCGAAGAAGTTCTGGTGGACGAGGAAGAGGGGCCTGGGAGGGCAGTCGGGGCGGGGTTCATGGCGTAGAAGCCGGGAGCAGCGGGGTAGAGAGAGCGACTGCGGAAGTGGGGGGAGTATAAGCAAAGAGACCTAACGCAGAGGAGAGGGGATTAGGGGAAAAAAAAGGAGGGATAGAACGGACAGTAATATTGAAGACATCCGGGGGGAGAAATTGGGGGGGGGAGGGGGTAATGGAGAGCTATGAGAAAGGAGCGGCCCCAATGCTTTTTTGGAGTGTGATTCTGCGGTCGAAACTTTTGTGAGCCGCACGTTGCTGGATCGCCAGCGTGATTGGTTAGGGGAGATGGGCAGAGGCGAGTGCCGTATGGGGGGGGGGGATAGGTGAGGATGGCAAAGGGGGGAAAAACGAAAACAACGAGATCACACAGCACTCAGCACTCGGGGCAAGGGGAGAGGCTCAAGCAGTGAGGGTTGGAACTGGCAAGAGTGGAAAGGTATGATATGCGGACTCCAAAAGAATGGGATGACTTTATACATTCGGTTTCCTCGGTTTCCTCGGTTCCCATGCAGGTATATATACAGGTTCACCATAGTTATTCAAGTGTTTTTTACCCCGTTAGTGAGGAATGGTTTTGAGGGAATTAGCCAGGGGAAATGAAGGAGTGGCCGGAGACCTTGACCTTGACCTTGCAGACACCGCACGACGCGTTAACAAACTCTCGAGCGCACTCGAGTAAGGTATCGTGCAGTGTGGTGCCGGTACACATACCGGAGTTTCTATGATATCCATATCAATAATAGCCTCTCGGATTTCTCCACGAATTGGAGGAGGCCCACCAGGCTAGCACGGGTGCTGCGTACTAGTACTATAGCACTGGTACAAGTACGGGCACAGGACGAGCACACACAGCGACACTTCCAGCTGGTCAGGGGAACGCGGGAAGGGAATCGGGAACCCTTCCGGACGCAATGAACGGAGGGAGGGTGAGAGGGTGCAGCGTCAGGAACAAGTATCACGTCTTGTGCGTGTAACACTGCAAATCCCGTCGGGATGGTTAGTGGAACGAGCGGATCACAACGATGGTATGGGGAGAGATGGGAAACATCCAGATCTGAGGCGATACCGTACACCGCTCCTGGACCAGCACCGTACCCGAGCCACTCTACCCTCCCGGCAATGACACTCGAGTGCTGCGGCGCCGTCATCATACGGTGCTCGAGTGGCCCAGGGAATGAACGCTGGGGAAGTGACCAGCACACTCGACGCTGCACCGGATTCCCGATTTCGGGGAATTTGATCCCTGCCAGCTATCATGCTGCACTCGAGTATACAAGTACAGGTCCCAATGTGTTGAATATGGGTATCAGATTCATTGGACGGAAGATGGGTGCGCCGTGCAGGCCGCTAACTGTTTTTGGGCTGGGAGGTGTGAAAGTCTTGGGGATGAAGGGTGCGCTGTTGCTGCGAGATTGGAAGCACGGCATAAAACACAGGGTTGCCATATCTCTAGATCATCCATCCACACCGAAACCTATTCCATTCGTCCCCAACCTTGTCCCCCCCCGAGCCCCAAACCCCGACTTCTGTGGAGAGCTTTCCTGCCCGTGTGCGGCGTGCACCACCCCCTAAGAGCGTACGAGTATCACACATCTCTGCCCGGTCCTCGTCAACCATCACCATCATCATCATCATCATCACCCTATCATCAACATCGCTGACCAACGAAATCCCTTTAGGCCCGCCATTGTTCTTCCTCGCGGCAACCAACCCCACCTCACCAGTCACATACCCCCCTTCCTTTTCCTTCGTTCATCCATCAACCCCGTCCATCCCGAACCCTTCCAACTGTTGGCGGCCACGCATACATCGTCAGTTTTTCCACTAAGCTTCGACCGTAGTGCTCCTTCACCGCATACGACCCCTTTGCCAAGGTTGCGGCTGCGACAGCCCTTCGAGATCTCGACGAAACGGATTCACTCAACGCCATCATGACCCATTCCGAGGAGGAGTCTACCGCTTTGGCGCTTTTATCACAGTTGTCGGTGTCGCCGTTCAGTCAACCGCAGAATACACTTTCTGCGCTCAAACGGCTCAAGCATGAACTCATCGGCCATGAACAGAAGAAGGAATTGTTTGTGCGTCTGGGACTTGTGCCTCCACTCGTTAGGATCCTGGAGGGTGCTGGTAGTGCGGATGAAGTTTGGAGCAACGCTAGATTAGAAGCTGGAATTGCAGTTGGGAGCCTGGCTTATGGTATCGTCCCTTTAGGATGCATATTTAGATGATCCGGATATCCGTGGCTGTTTTGCCCCCTCTGAGAATATCGTTAACCACTGAGTGGTGTCATATAGGCGGTGAAAATTATATCTCGCATTTGTTCAATTCACAGGCTTTCCCTCCGCTAATAGCTTCCCTGGATCCTTCCTCATCTCCGCCGAAACTTGTTCTATCGTCCCTTCGCACATTGAACACGATTCTGGACACTTCAGCATTCTCCGCGACGTGTCTCTCATACACAATCGCTACGGCTCTTTATACCCCCGGGGTTCTGGATAGTCTCTACAGAATTCTTTCGCAAGAATCTCCAGCTGCTTTAGTCCAACAGCAGATTTCGCTCACAGCATCCCTCATTGCTAAATCGTGTGGTCGGTGTGCTCCCGGCAGTTCGGATAATAGTGGATGCCATTCGGCTCACCAAAGGCTGCTTGTGGAGGCTGGAGTTCTCGGAGCCCTGAGTGCTAGGTTGGGGGGCCATATCGTGGCCGAGAAATCTATTCCTAAAAGCCCTAAAAATGCTCATAGCAGTGATATGCCTCCCCCTGCTCCTCCGGGTGCAAAGTTGGCCCCGATTCTTGACGCCATCTCCGTCATCATCAAGGATTCTAGGCTTCGTTCTCTGGAGTTTCTGTTTTCTCCATCAATCGTAGCAATCTTTCCTCTCCCTACCAATGAACCTTCTGAGCCCGATGTCCCGTCATCCTCGTCTAGCAAACCGGGCGAGGGAATAGTAGGTTTAACATCCTCGATAAACCTGCCTCAGCCTAAGCCCGCGAGCAACTCGATAATACAACCCCCGAATTTGCTTATAACACCGTCCGCCTTTCCCCCGCTCTCAGCAGCATCTGTGGCCTCCCCCACCACTTCAAGTCACATAACGGAAGGCTCGGTGCGTGGTAGTAGTGGCTTTCCAGCATCAAGTCCTTTCTATAACCCCCTGACAGGAGTCACAGAGTCCCAGGCCGCGCTTCTTGCCAGTGGCCATGCTGGGGATGATTCTGGATCTTCCACCGGCGGCGATACTCCTCTACGCCAGAGGGCAGAGATTGCCGATCTGGAGGATCGCATACTTCGTTCGGCCGCGCTGGCTGTACCTGAGGGCGGATCCAGCCGTTCCGAGGTCGATCTCGAAATTGAGGAGTCCCCCATCTTACCGTGGCTAATATCGCAAGTTCGTTCCGGGGACTCCGTTACGAGACTGATGGCAATAAGTGTTTTGACAAATTTGTTCAGGGTGGAGCTTGTGAGCAAGAAGCTTGTGCATTTGCTGATATTGCTGGTTTTGCCGGTTCTAGTTCGACTTTTGACCGAGGAAGGTAAAGAGACTCGGGTAAATGCAGGGATTGGTAGCGTTGATACGGAGACATGGGCGAGCTGGACCATTCAAGAAAAGGCGCCGGCGATTCTGGCAAGATTGGTAATGGATAGCACTGAAATGCAAAAGGCTGCGGTAGATGCTGGGGCAATCAAGAAGCTGGCTGCGATGCTGAAAAGAGCTAATGAGTTACCATCACCTGCAATGAACGGTCACCAAAACGGAAATTCCCATGACTCAGGCCATGCAGCGGAGCCAGGAAGTAATCTGGAGGTCGCCCACAAGATGAAGGTTAAGGAAGGGGGGTTGAAATGTCTGGCTAGCCTTGCATTATTCAAAGATGAATATCGGAAGGCGATCATTGAAACGGGGGTTGTCCCGGTCCTCGTGTCTTCGATGAAACCACTCGAACCCATTCCAACACCCGTGCCTCAGCAGAACACAGTTGGACAAGGAAATCCCCCGGCTGTACTCACAGCCGCCTGCGGCGCTATTAGGGCATTATCCCGCTCCGTCTCCATTTTGAGAACCTCCCTGATTGATGCTGGAATCGCTCTACCGTTGTTTGCTCTCCTCCGCCATGACGATATCGAGGTACGCATTGCTTCGACGGCAGCTGTTTGCAACCTCGTTCTGGACTTCTCCCCAATGCGAAGGCCGATACTAGAGGCCGGAGTTCTTGATGTACTCTGTTCACACGCGAAGAGCGAAAACGCTGCACTAAGGTTAAATGCGCTTTGGGCTTTGAAGCATTTGGTTCTGGAGGCTGAGACTGAGGTAAAGAAGAAGTGCTTTGAGGGGCTGGGGGTGGACTGGCTCCTCGGGGTCATCCGCCGAGACGTGTACGGGGATGAAGATGGAGAGGATGATGAGATGGCGGATAGTGAAGACGACGATGGGGATGATACAGAAGGCGGCATGGAGGACAGCATCGGTGATCTCAGGAGAATGGGTGCTGGGCGGACGGGCGACGAGGAATATTTTGATGCCCCGGAGGAGAGGGCCAGGTCATGGGCAAGGAGGTTCCCCCCAAAGGCAACTGCAGTAATGGCACAGCTAGAGAGGAGAGAGAGAGATGACTCTTTAAGAAGGAAGAAGGAGGACATTGCTTTGCAGGAACAGGGTCTAGACTTCTTGCGGAACTGGATTTGCGGCAAGGATCGCAATCTCATGATTGACCATCTTTTCGAGAGCGTCGGGAAAGATCGGGTCTTTGATATTTTGGAGGACAAACTGAAGCATAAGCGCTATGTGAAAAGAGGGGAGTTGATCTCTGAATCTCCGCCTGGGGAAATTGTGACTTCCGTTGTGTATATCCTTGTTCATCTTGCCACAGGTTCACTTCCTCACAAGAAGGCCTTGATCCAACGTGTGGATCTTCTAAGGGCTCTATCTGCCCTTTGGAATCACCGACTTGCTCATGTCAGAAGTGGTCTCGCATGGGTTGTCATCAATCTTACCTGGCACGAAGAACATGAGGATATCGAAGAGGTTCAGACTCGAGCCAGGGAGTTAATCAGGCTAGGGTTTGACAAGAGCTTAGAAAGCATGTCTCAGGATTCCGAGCTGGACATCAGAGAGAGAGTCAAGACTGCCAGACATCAGCTGGGCATTGCTGGGCCTGCGGATTAACTGTTGTCGTCACCTACCTACAATTCGATTTGCAAAGATATGTGTATTACTACTGGGCCCTGGATCTCTGTCTTCCTACTCTTTATGTCAGTCACCTATCCCCCCTCCCTTGTTTGTTCCCTAGATAAGGAATGCGGGCGAGGTATACGGGTGAGATCGCCTTTTTTTTTTTTTTTTGTTATTGGTATTGATTTTGGTCTTGTTTCTGCGAATTTTCATACCTTTGATTTGCGAAGGGTTCATTCATCACGGTGCTATGCAAAAAAGGGAAAGGGAAAAATGTTATTGGGGAACTATTTGGCTATGGGCTCTTTTCTATGTTTGGTGAGGGATGATTGGTGGGCTTGAGGGAGTTTCATTGGAATTGAAAAAAATCTGGATACTTTTTTTTGTCGGTACAGTCAGTGTCTTTAGCCAGGAGATGGTGGTTGGATTGGTTAAGTTAAGGGCGTCTTGCAAGGGTTTCATTCCTGTTATGGTCTCATGAAGGAGAAAGGGGGTTCTTGGTAAAATGTCAATGTTGGGTTGCCATGTATAGCTCGGTATTAAACTGCTAACAGCAAACTTGTTAGAGTGAAGTGATTACGCCTTTAAAAGGCTAGGGATACTGGGGAAACTCCTCGAAATTGGCTTGTGTACGGCAGACTGCGCACCGAGCCCACTGAGCGCGACACGGGCTCCTGGGGCCGGTGTTTTCGTGCCCTTGTGCCTGGAGGTAGGGTGTGGAGGGTACAGAAGAATTTTCCCATTGCACACCACTTGTGTCATACGTTGCCCTACGCCCCAAGGAAGTTAATCCAAGCAAAGTACCAGCTTTGACTAGAAAATCTTTCTTCAGCGAGCCTCCTACATCCCCAAAGAGTCCGTCTCCCCACTAACAACACCAATGCCTTCGACACGAGGATTTATCGTATCAAGTTTTCGTATGGCAGCTGATTGTTAAACCCCCCGCTGCGGATAATATAAAGGTCCTATTGCAGGACTCTTATCACGAAAACTGTAAAGCCATGGATAAAGATGTGAGGTTATTGTAAGCGGGAGGTCTTTAGTATAATGCTATCTTACAAGCATACGGTCTGATGATCTGGCTGGAAAAAAAAAATGAAACACAAAAAATCCTAAAGAAAAGCACTCTCTAGAAAACCCCATCATCTGCGATCCTCCGTGACCCTAAACTATCCGCAGCAATCCAAACCACTGGAACTAATACCCTAGCCCAATGCCGGACACGAAGGGTAAACCGCACAAAACCAGCTATGATACCATACACTATGTCAAACTGCGATCAACTATGATAAGCCAAATATCCGGCACCTGGTGCCTAATGACAACGGGCATCAACAAAACCAGGGGCTCATATCCTACAATGTGAGAGTAGTTAACCACTACCATGAGCCGAACCTCCTAGCACCTCGAAGCCACAATCACCGTGGCTGTATGTCCCCTAACCGCGCGCTCGATTGGCAGCCCAACTAGAACATTACTTTCATTTCAATTGAGAGTCGGGTTGTGAGCTCATTTATGGAGACAAGATCACAGGGCATCACTCGACACCCTAGTCTTGCTCCGAGCGAAGTCTGGTGCTAAGTCACTAAAATTCCTCTTCTTAGCTAGGTGAGGGGAAAACGCCGCGGACCCAGCCTTTAGTTGAGACAAAACAAGGGGAATGTGCCGAGAAACTTAACAGGGGAGACAACTATCTGTATATATTACCGGTATCAGGGTTTGGTGTGTATATGACTGGGGTCTTATAGCTTTTATTGATTTCTGAAATCGTTCATTTTCAAGAAAAAAAAAGGAGTATTGTGCTCTTGATATGAGGATACTCCAGTAGGCGCTTGAACCGGATCTCCAAGTTCTTCTGCCAAGCTAGAAATTATAGCAGGATACCCCCACACGTCTAAATATTCTGTGATAACATCTAACTCCATAGATTCTCAGCTGCATGGACATGTATCTAGATGATAACCTATGTGGGCGTTGACACGGCGGATGTGATTGTGATTTCGCTGTGTTGCAAAGGGGATAGTATGATGGCCAACCACAGTCAAGCTACGGTAGACTACTGTTGAATCCCTTCTGCACACTTCAGATAGTAATCGAGTTTCGGCGTTCTTTGACGGGTCACGGGTATAGGGGGTTTCCAGTTGTAAACAGCAAGAGTACTCACTGGCTATCTAAGATCACGGGGCTTGAAGGGGATGATGAGAAGAATCAAGACAAAGTCACTTCTCAATTCGCCAAGGTCTATCCGCTTCCCTTTGATTTTCTGTCCCCCCCTCTTCCCCGAAAGGGTCCCATCAGCCTCCCTGAACGGTGAAGCTTCGGCAACTGAAAGAATTAAAGGATCTATAGCAATCGGTATGTCTGGAAGGATGACGACCGTCTACACATCTCTACGCAAGACGAACCAGAATGTATGCTGAACAGTGTAGTAGTGTACAGTATAGGATGTCCAAGAGATAACTTATGGGCGAGATAATTTACCGGTAGATACGGGTCATCTGGCTTAAGAGCCCTATCTGCATTAATCTCCACCCGAACCACCACTTTGTTTAGAGCGGCATAGAGTACCTGCCACAGGGAGGCCTGATCAGAATTTTAGGGAAGCCACTACGGTGCACATAAACCTCGCAAGAAGCGAAGCAAGTAAACACTGGGCTCGTCCTGCTCGAGTAAATATAGGCTTCCAAAACGCGGCATCGATCCGCTGCAGCTCTCATCCAAGAAGAATAGCTCGAGTACCGGTACTGTGCAGTACACGCGACACTCAGGGCCGGTTGATTAGACTAGGTGCTGGCAAACAAAGCGGTAAGGTTATGGTTATCACGCTCTCTTTGCTTCCGGAACTCTCTTAATTGACCCTACCACACTCGAGAATAATCCCCTACATTACCGGCAACTTACAACCTTCCAGACAGCAAAAAGGAAATGGGGAAATCCCACAATCTCATGTCACGGAAGGTGGCAGCTCTCTTATCTACAACTCCTTTGATAACACCAACGCATTCTATAATAACTGTAATGTGAACAACTTTGGCAATACCGAGGAGAGGTCTGGGATTCTCGCGTGGTTATATCCATTACTGGTAGAGCCCTGGATATGGCATGGTTATATTAGGGGCCGGTGAGTTGAAGATCTGGGAAGATGGATCTTACAAACCGAGGAATATCAGAATTTGTTTGATGGTGATCGCGGTAGGCAATCCGATAGTTCGACATTGTCCTGCTATGGAGGTAAAAGGGTCGGTAAGACCTACATCAGGTAAGAAAGAATACCCTCCATGAAGTAGAAGCAAAGGTGTTGCTAGGAAGCTGTGATTCTAGCTCCTTAGTAACAAATGCGCTATGCGATCGGGCAAGAGGATAAAATGCTGAGCTCGAGTGCTTCTGCTTCGACTTCGCCGCGCAGAAGGAGCAATTCCCAACGAGAATCCTAGGCTCCCTACTGGAAGGGGTCGTTGGCGGACTAGAAAAATTTCCAGCATAGCTCGCAGAGGCTTTCCGAGACCAGAATAGGGCCATAGGGGACCGGAATCTGGGGCTCACTGAAATTGTGGAGATGTTATAGTATTTCTCATCCTTACGGTGCACCTTCATATGCATTGATGCTCTGGGAAAATGCGTGGCGGGGTATCGAGCAAGGCTGCTTGATTCACTGAAATAAGTTCTACAAAAGCCCCCGGGTGCTCGGGTATTTCTGGCTGGGAGACTGCATACCCGGTATGGGGTCGAGAAACATCTTGCTGGGAGGGTAGCGACTATGTCCGTAACGCCCATTAAGGATGATATCATCAGATTCCTATTGGCAACTCTAGAAATTAAGGCAGTCCTACAGGGGATCACCGCCTATGGGAGGCGAAAAAAAATTCGATATTATACAATGGCAAATGGCTTGCTCTTGTGGGATGGTTACGATGCTGCCATAGCACAGATAAAGATTCAGGAAGGGGATAGACTAGAGGAAGACTCAGGATGGCATCTCTAGTGTGGATTTCGGATCCGGAGTGGCCCTTGAGTGTGGATGAGATACGTCACGCCCTAGGGGTTGAGATTGGATCAGTGGACATTAATATAAGCAATGTGTCTTCACTATGGGTGGTGGTGAGCTTTTGCGATGGGCTTTCCGTGATCGATAAAAGGTCCCCGACTATCGGACTAATTCATTTTACATTTCACATTCTAAGAGTATCCTTTAGGCCATGCGGACTTGTTTGACAGAACCCACTGGGAAATGGCGGAAACCTATTTGACCTATCTCAACTTCTAGACTATCAAGGAGCTTTCGATCAGCCCTTCCCATGACCCCCTTGACGGGCCCTTCTTGGGGTCTTCTTTTTTATACTGGGGAGCTCACATGCGAATGGAGCCCTTAGATCGCTCGGGACACCTTGCGTTCGAACTTCCCAACCGGCACGGGAAAAACATATCCTGCCGAGTTACTTTGGAGGTCAACCAGCAAGTGGTTCCTTAACTGCGTCAATTATCGCAAGCCATGTTCTGCGCTGCATTGTGTCTCATATTTCGGCATTGCTATTTGGAAGGAGATACATCAGCCCCAACGGACCGCACAAAAGTGGCCAAATGCCGCTCTCGCGGGCTGCCGGGAACTGGCAGGATGAGGTAGTGAATCTGTTGCTTGGACGGTAAGATGTGAGCCCTGGCAGAGCAGACAATTGTGGCCAAACAGCATTCGTGTTGGCGTTCTTGCATGGGCGTGAGGGAGAGTGAAGCTATTTGAGGATCGGAATGCTGAAATCTCCAGTGCCGTACAGTACAGAGAGCCCTAGAGACAGAGCCCCTCTCGGGGTATTCAAGCCCGGCCATGTGCCCGGTTCACAGCATTAACAGGCACTTTACAGCTGCGTGCTATCTTCTCCCCTGGCCTTCATTCGGCCCCCTAGAGCTGTGAGACTGTTAGGGATATCGCCGTTTGTTGATACCGGAAATGGGCGGATAGGCGGAGCTCCTGCCGTCAGGTCCGAGATACCCTACATGAAGTTTGTTCACTTTTTTTTACCTCCCTGTTCCTCTTTCTGGCGTTTTGGGGACTGGAATCGTTGTTTTTCTCGGATAAGTCCCGCCTTCTACTTCTCTGGTACTTCCCTATTCCTTCACTCAACGATAGGCCGGACTTTTATTGGGGTGTACTATATACAGCATGTAGTGTTATTGCAGGATTTCTTCCGGGGGATCTCTCAGCCCTGCCTTATATATGTACTGCACCATGGAAAAGTAATGGTATAAGTAACGACCTATAAAATCCATTTAGGCCTGCTGCGCTCCTCTTCTGCTCCGTCCCCTCCCGCCAGATGGTATAGGCAGAAGGAGGAAGCGAGAAGAGGCGCAAAATTTGGTTCAGCAGATATCCTTGACCCGGTTAGAAATACAAAAGGATCCTTTCCGTAGGATCTCCACATTATCTAGAGATAGGTGCTATTGGACTTCGGGAGCGAGACTAGCTACAAATGGGGCAAAAAATTTTCAACCACCTTGAGATGTCAATCAAGGAGCCTACGCATACGTTTATGTACGTACGAAACTATGATTTTCATGTTATAGATATGGAGTTCCTATGCGATATCATACTTGTACGAGGACCTAAGTCACTCACACCTACGCTAGTCGGTACGATATGGTACAATTGCAAATGGCAAACTCAATTTTATCCACATTTATTTACATATTTATTGATGTATGCTTATACTCGTAGGGGGCTGAGCGCAAAGTGACGTCGAAGTGATCATTGCTTTCAACAGGATTGGGACGGGGATTGTCTGTCTCCTTGGAAATGCCCATTTTTCGTCAAGACTTGGCCATAAGAGCCGATTGCCGAACGAGAGCGTTATGGGTACTTTGTGGTACGATATAAACGTAGGTTTCGAACTCTGCGGATAAGAGAAAGACCTATTTATCTTTTCGGGATTAGCATCCAGATATGTCTACTGTATCATAGGCACGATTGAACAGCGACAACACGAAGAGCAGACAGAGGGGAGGATGATCAGACAAGGTTTTGTTAAGGTAGCGGTTGTTTTTCATCATTGTCGAGTGCCAGCAAGAATGCTGGCAAACGAACTAAAGCCAAATGCCTGATGGTCATCATATCATAACGGAGGGGGGGCTGGTGCTGGGGGTTTTTTTTTGCATAAAGAGAAAGGACTAAAGGGGGGGTTTAAATACCTTCCAGTTAATTAGTTCTCCATGGCTGGTGCCTTCATTGTCGTATGTTGTGTCGTCGAGAGAGATGAATTGGTGTATGAACGATGTTGGGTTGAAGTTATCTTCTCGTCCTTGAAGAGAAAAAAAAAACCCCCCCCTTTCCGCCAAGAACACTTTTTGGCCGCTAGCTAAGAAAAAAAAAAGAAACCCTAAACCCTCCCCCACCCGGCGGATGGGGGCTCTCAAGTTGCTCATGCGTGTGCGTAATAACTTGGCAAAACGATTGGCTGGGGACAATGGTGGGGGAATTCTTTAACCGGTCCGCTTCCGACTTGAAAAAATGACCCAACCTCAAGGCCCAAACCCCCGCATCAACTACTTTTATTTTAGGTTTTCCTCTATTCTTTCACCAAAATTAATGGAGAGACATTTTAAAAATGTTGACATCTGAGTGAGGTTTTGAGGGTTTGGGCTTACCGATAGATATACTCGAGCACCGGCACTTGTATCATACCCGGATGTCACGTACGGTTATTAGCTGATGAAATTACCAAGGGGCAAGTTAATTCTGCCAAGAAGGCGGAATCAACGGTGACTAACCGCATTAGGGCACAAATCAATATGTATTACTTGTACAAAGCGAAATAAATGTCGATAGTGCTGTGGTTTGAGGTTCCCCCGCCGCAGATCGAAGACGCACGCCAAGGGATAGCAGAGTTTTTGACCAGCCGCCCCACCCCGATTGGTTATTAACTGCCACTCCCAACATCCGTTCCCAACCCCCTCGCCTTCACTCGCAACTAACTGGCTTGCCGAGAAGATATCTGCTTTCCTGTGCGATTCCTTCTTCTTTCTCTCTACTCAGTCGATAGGTCATTCCCCTGGGGAAGAAAGAAACTGGTACAATCCCCCTCAATTGTTTTGCGATTTTCTTTCCCCTCTCCGCTTGCTCTTCCCCTCTTGCCTTTTTACCGTTTGTGGAGAAGAGACAGGGAAGGGAAAGAAGAAAAGTAGCCCAATTTTCTCACATTATACCAGAGATAAAAGAAAAAGCCATCATGCGATTCGGAAAGACTCTTCAAGCATCGATTCACCCTCCGTGGCGTGATCATTATATCGACTATGCGAAGATAAAGAAACTCCTCCGCGAAGGGGACGATTCGGATTCCGAGCGGGCTCCAGCCTCGAGAGCGGACCAGATGGAGGAGGGGTGGACGGAGAACGATGAGTCAGAATTCGTGCACGAGCTCGTCAACGTCCAGCTCGAGAAGGTGAACAATTTCCAGCGGGAGATGAGCGGACAACTCAAGTCCCGGACGGCAAAATGCGAGGCTCGACTCGAACAACTTGTTTCTACCATGCCGACTAGGGGTCCCCCGTCTTCTCTCAACCCTGCCAAGGAACCGATTGGCGGTGAGGAGAGACAGAAGACGCTGACGCAGGTTTTGGAAGATCTTGACGGTATCACGTCCGATATTAACGACCTTGAGAAATTCTCGCGCGTAAACTTTACCGGGTTCTTGAAGGCCGCTAAGAAGCATGATCGGAGGTCCCGAGGGGGATCTGCTGCCAAGGACAAAGGAAAGGGCAAAGGAAGGGGTGGAACGAATGGGGAGTACAAGGTTCGCCCATTGCTGCAGGTGAGGTTGAGTGCGTTGGAGTTCAATAGGGAAGACTACAGTCCGCTTTTGTACAGGTATGGTCAATCACTTCCTTGGATTTGCTCTCTGTTGTGAGAAGGGATTTAGGGTGCCTTAAAGAGCACTACTTATATTGGTTTAGACTGTCGGCTATGTATGCCTTTGTGCGCGAGAACATCGATAAAGATGCCAGTGACCATGGTCAGACCCGGACATCATCTGTCGGCTCTGGCCCTCAACCCCAAGGTAGCCGAAAGTACATATCGCACAAATGTTTGTTTCTCCTTCCCTCAAGCTCAATTTGCCAGCTTGCTAAACGGGTCCGACATTCACACAGTCTGGGTCCATCCCGACAATATTCTCGAAGTGAAAACGTTCATTCTTCGTCGCCTCCCCGTCTTGATCTATAACCCTCAACCCTCTAAAGAAGTTGATGCTAGTCGCCGCGATCCCACTATCAACTCCCTATATTTTGATAATCCTCAATTCTCCTTGTATCATGACAAACTTTCCAAGGCCCCTGAGGCCGCGTCCTTGCGCTTGCGGTGGTACGGGCGCCTTTCTGACAAGCCTGACATTTTGCTTGAGCGCAAGACTATGCGTGATTCAGACTCTGAAGGTGCCGTTGAAGAAAGAATCACTTTAAAAGAGAAATATGTGATGGACTTCATCAATGGGAATTACGCTATGGAGAAAACCATTCAGAAGATGAGAGATCGCCCTATCAAGAATGGCGAGGATGTGGGCAAGTACGAAGCTTTGGTACAGTCGTTTCAGGATCTCATTAAGGAGAAGAAATTGGAGCCAATGTTGAGAGCGGTATACACACGCACAGCATTTCAAATTCCAGGTGACGACAGGGTTAGGGTTTCGCTAGACACCGACCTTGCATTGATTAGGGATGATTGTCTAGACGAAGACAGGCCGTGTAGGGAACCAGAGGAATGGCATAGAAAGGATATTGACGATGCCGAAATGGAGTATCCATTCTCTGCCCTGAGGAAGGGCGAGATCTCGAGGTTCCCGTACGCGCTTTTGGAAATCAAGGTGCTTGAATTTGGGCTTCACGGAAGGAGCAAGGAGTGGGTTAACGACCTGATGAACTCCCATCTGGTCAAGGAAGCACCTAGGTTCAGTAAATTTGTTCACGGTATCTCTGTGCTTTTCGACGACCATGTCAGTAGTTTCCCCTTCTGGCTGGGTGAATTGGGCTCGAAGGACATCCGGCAGGACCCTAAACAGGCCTGGGAGGTTGAGCAACAGAAGGTCAAGAAGCAAATTGAGGACGAAACTATTGTGGGAAGCTTTAGGCCGGGTTCTAGGGATTTCGGCGGGAGGTCTGCCCCGTTCGCCAGTACTCCAAACATGTATGGGGCTACACCTCCGGTTGCTGAGCGGGAATTCACTCAGGTCGCCCAGGAGGCAAAGAAGACTAACGGGTCTGATGAGCGGCCCTCTGATAACAAGGACTCTGAAGAGGATGATAGTGATGTAGAAGATCCTGCAGAAGTTTCACAGAGTGTTGCTACGATCCCCGGACTTCGAAACCTTTTCCCGACCTTCTCAACGTCTCGGTATGGCCGTGCTCATCGGAAGGCGAATATCCCTGTCAAACTGCCGCCTGGTGTGCAGAAGCCCGGTACCCTAATCATGCACTCGGGCCCTGTGCAAGTCGAGGCGAAGGTATGGCTTGCTAACCAACGCACGTTTTTGAAGTGGCAACACGTTTCAGTGCTTCTAGCTTCTTTGAGTCTGGGGCTTTATAATGCCGCTGGGAAGCACAATTATATTGCCAAATGGCTTGCAGTTGTTTACACCGCCATCGCGATCTTCGCTGCAGGCTGGGGCTATACCATGTATATGTGGAGATCGAGGCTTATCCGAGAGAGAAGCGGGAAGGACTTTGATAATATTTTGGGGCCGACTGTGGTTTGCCTTGCACTGGCCGTTGCGCTTGCTGTGAACTTTGCGTTCCAGGTATGTTGTCTTTCTCTCTCTGCTTCCTCGTGTGACATTTTTGTGAACAAGGACTGATTTCCTTAGTATCGGAACATGAAGGAAAGGAAAAGACATGCCCATCTTCCGTTCACCCCTACAGCCCCAGAGGTATTCAACGTCAGCATCAACGAGGAGCATATTGTGGGACTATTCCAGCAGTTAGCAGGGCATTAATTAAAGATATCAATAATTATAATGAGGGAAAAATTGTTGTACGATTACATGGATGGATTTGGTATTACCTGCCAATAGTGTTGAGAGGCAACGCCGTGTTTCCTTATCTGTCGTGTTTTGGTTGGACTGAGTTAAGTTACCCAACCGCGAGTTATGAATCGCGCAATGATATCCTTGTTTGTTTTCCGAGGGGTTTTTCCTTACTTTCTTTTCTTCCTCACTATTATGGTGTCATAAGGGGAAAGGGGGAGGCATGGGTAAGAGAATGATGAAACTGTAGCGTTAATAGGAAATTTTGAGGGACTTTCGAATTTTTTGACTTTTGAACTGTGTCTATCAACCTATCGCTTACCCTACCAGTAGCTTACCTACGGTACTAGTACACTCTGCCTATCTGAAGAAAATTAAATAGTATGACAATGCAATGCAAGTTTCGTACTTCTCAACCCCCCCCCCCCCTTCCGTTCTCCAATTATAGCAAGCCCCCAATACCCGTACCTGTACAGCATCAGCGTAACCTAGCGCCACAAACGCAGCCCAACCAATCGCTCAAACGGTTGCCCCCACTACTGGATACCAACGCGTCTACCCAGATACACACCCGATCTAAGCGCCAACCAACGTCTCTCTCCCTTCCTTCCAAAAGCGCCACCCAGCCATCTATGACATGATATCCGGGATCGCACGCCGCCGTAACGGAACCCCAGAAGGATTATCCAAGAGTTCGATTTCACCACCCAAATCCCCAGGCTATAGCGAACAATAAACCAACTATCTACTAGAGCAGCTCAACAAATGGTGCGATATCCCCTCAAGAAACAATGTGCCCTTTGGGACCTCCAGGGTGTCGTGGAAAGGGTGTGCCTAAAGTGAAATGTCAAGTCAGCCCTTTTTAAAACAGCCCTCCTACCATGAAGTCCACCGAGTGCGATGATACGGTCGGCACTATCACCACCCCCAATATCGTACCAATGCCGATACCACACTCGGGAGTCGAAATAAGTCGCCGCTGGCGGGCCTCCTTCCCCACACCCCTATGTCAGGTTGGTTAGACTGAGGACCAGGATTAAATTTCATCAATAAATTAACTTCTACAAAACGGCCCTCCCCGCACACACTCTTTTAGCGAAGGCTTGAAATTCGGTGCAGGGCTAGGTAACTTGGCGTTCGATAGGGCGGGGTGCGACTGCATGGGATGGATGCACTTCTTACACCTCCTTACTTACGGTACCTACGGTACCATACTTATCCTAGACCTGGAGTACGAGTGCCTGAAGACAGGGATTAAAGAGGCATAGGTATGCCAAAAGATTTGTGCGTATCTGAGTACCAATGCAAAATATACCCCCACACTGCCCTCCTTCCCTCGGGCACTCCTAACCCGGGACAAATACTGTACGAGTACTGTGCTGTACTTGAGTGTTTTGGCTTGCAGATCATCCTGAACCGCCACGCGTCGACCTTCCCGTTCCCCTTTAGCGAGTGTAGACGTGGAGGGAAGGTCGGGCAGTGCCCCCGGGGTTACAGTAACTTTTTCTTTCCTTTTTATAGTCGAATCGGGGCGAAGGGATGTGTGGAGGTGGAGGTGGAGGTGGGGGGGCTCCGTACGCGCAAATGTGATAATAGCGGTAGATCTAAGTGCGGTCAAGCCCTTAGCCCTCCAAGGAGGGTGGGGGTGGTGGGGGGGGTGGCAAGAGCGATATAGTGAGTCATTGAGAACTTATTCGCTCCGGGAAGGATCGCGCTACGTTATCATACCGGTAACTGTAAAAAGGGGGGAGGAAGGGAAGGGGTGCTTTTCAGGCGGATTGGCGGCAGTTCGTACTGCACGAATAATCACTCGGTCTTTAAACGGGGTCTCCGTGTGGAGAGTGGAAAGAGTTGCCTAGAAAGAGGCCAAGTGATTACCGGGGGGAGGGGGAGGGAGATTAGTGTATCATGTATTATTGCAGGCATTCTATAGGAGTTATTATACAAGTACAGGAGCTATACTATAGTGCTCAAGCAGTCTTACTACCCTACAGAGCCGTATACCTACAAGTTCAGCTATGCGAATGTCAGGAGATGTGCTTCCATACGACATGCCACTATAATTGACGCGCAGGTTTGCAAGGGCCTACCGTATCCCCAAGTACAAGTATACCTATGATATTATACACTCTCACCTTTACTCATACACATCCTTGACCGCCAGCAAAACCCTTGCTCCCCCCAAGTTTGCCAAGACCCCTGAGCGAGACAAGGAACTCCTAGGAGTAAAGATCTTTCGACCCCACGAATGTTTGATTTGTCCGCCCGAAATACCCCTCGCTCCACTGGTACAGCACAGCGCATCTAATGGTGGTATTAGTAGTGGTATTGAAGGACGTGACAGGGCATGACAGGCGACCGGAAATCCACACGATTTGATGGGAAGTTAAGAGCCCAGGACATCGCTGGCTACTTGTCAGGAGTGGTTGTAAAGCAGAGCTTCTGCTTGACAGTTATTATAGTGGCACCGGTGGGGGGGCATCTCACAATTGGGGTCTGTGTGGTGGAGGGGATCATTCGATGGACAAAGAGAAACTCTTTTCTATAAAGTCTCTCGTTGAGTGGTTGTACCTTTCTAGCCAGTGAAGGGTGGTCAAAATGTTTGTTAAGGATCAATCAGAGGGAGTGGATAACGTGCGGAGAAGCGCCCCAGGGATTGACTGCCATTGGCTGGGGAGGATGTGCTGTGAGTAGGTCCGGGGGGGTACGCCAACCATCGGGTGCTGTGCCTCGTCTGGGGAGGGAGGGAGGAGGGAATGGGGAAGGAAAAGAAAGTTGATGCATAATTTTGTGCGTAAAGGCCGGCTACATATCCAATACCGCATCGCTTTCTCACCGACCCGATTATACTACATACCAAACACAGCTTTAAAATGTATGAAAATACAATTTCATAGTCAGGAAAAGAAAAAAAAAAGGAAAGAAAAGAGTGAAATATCCCTCGCGCGAAATCAGAATCGTATTCCGGAACTAGAATTCCGCTAGGGGTACCGATTGGCTCCTTATCCGATATGCGACCAAGCACTGCTGTATTTGTACTCTACCGGCAATGCGGTACCGTACCGGTACTGTACTCGCATCTGGCATGAAGTATCTGAGAGTTTGACAGGGTTTTTTTTTCGTCACTGGGTGGGCGGTTGTGTAACAGTGGCAGTGTTTTCAGATACCTATTTGCCAGATACAAGTACTGTGCTGTACCATAGGCTGTATCCCCGCATCCAGCTAGATAACCAGCTATCCGACCGGGCAGTCCCCCTCCTCCAGTCCCTTCCTATCACTGTCTGACTTCGCTTCTTACCTCTGATCGACCTACGATCCGGAAAGCACATCCTTCCGCCGATCAACCTCGTGGCAATCGCTCTTCCCCTCCCTCCCTCCCTCCTTCCCCGCGTTTCAAACTGGGCGAATAACCACATGTCGTGGCAAGGATATATATGGCATACGCATACAAGTACAGTACTTGCACCCCCGATAGAGTTATTCAACGGCCAATTAAGTACCGTAGCCCCATGCGAAGTAATAAAAGTTCCACTCGTAGCGGGTTGATGTTTGCAAAAGCTGTCACTATTGCACCCGCCGGATTTTAGCCTTTCTGCCCGGGTCCAGGTGGTGTGCAAGAGCAGCTGTGTTCACAAATGTTCCCCCCCCCCCTTTTGTGAGTAGAAGTTACCAGACGAAAGGAAAACATGGGAGGAAGAAGGGTATATCGCGACACTGGGCCTTCCTCCCTTCCTCCAGGTGTTTCCGGGGGGGAGTAGGCAAACGAGTAAGGTTGGTACCAATCGAATAGGGAAGTAGAGAAAGTGGGCGGTGGGTGGATGGGATATTTTCCCATATGACGACGACCGGAACCTACTGGCTGAGCTGGCCCCGGTGTCGGCTGGGGGTTGCAGGAAATACGGCAGTATTGGACAGAATACATAGACGGGTAAATTGGCAGGCTGGGTGTTTGCTGTGTCTGTCGGAACAATTGGATTATGACCTGGCCAGATGTGACATGGAATTCTGAAGTCCAGTACGATATGGCCTAAGACATGATCATATGTTTGGAATCGGTGTGCGAGGAGGGAGGGTGGGACGGAGTGGGCTGTGCCAACTGAGGAAGCAATGTGATTTCATCGCGATGGTGGTGGGAGGAAGGTGGCACTGGATCATAGGTATTCATTGAGGTAGGTGATAAAAGTGAAGTTTTTTTCTTTTCTTCCTCTATTCCTGTGGGGACTCCGCGGAATGGGGGGGGTGCAGGGAAGTACGAAATTTGGGCAATTCGTGGGAGAAAAAGGCACTTTTGAGCCTTGGAAACGCAAAGTTATTGGAATGCCGTGATAATGGTTATTGATATGGGATTCTTTGGCACCGCTGATTGGCATAGACGATTGGCATGCATGATTGGCATAATTAAATCTTTGGTAAGATAGCAACCGGCACGGAGCAGCAATTCCTCCTTGTTGGAAACGCGTTTTGGGGAATTCTTTAGAGCACATAAATTCAGATTTGATTATGGGGAAGGATTGCAGGATTGGATAGATGTACGGTACTCGAGAATGCCAGCAGTACGCAAATGCCGGGTTATAAAGCATATATTACACAACCTCGGAATACTTGAGCCCGAATATCACCAAAATAAACACAACAAGGGTGTGGTATCATAGGTATTGTGCAATGGTAACCACTAATACCCTCCACATCATCCCGATATTCAAAATCAACCCCGAGTGATCGATGCCATACGGGAACCATAGAGTGCCCAAAAGTTACCCCGGACCCCACTGCACCCCCTCCCAGACAATAATCCCTTTCCCGGCATAAGCTAGCTTAACAGCCTTAACACAATCACACCTACTCGAGTATTGACAATGGCCCATAGGGTCTCCACACGCCAATACTGCAAGCACACAAACAATCGCTATAGCCCCCTCCCAGCAAGTCCAAGTGGTCGGGTATCTCTTCTTGCACCACCCCACCCCCCCCGAGTTAGCGCCCCACAGCAGGTATGACATTATTGATATTACACGAGTGAAGATATGCTTATGCACAGTATTTATAATTGACAGCTGCGCATTTCTGCCCCCAAGAATAACATTGATTGCGAGTGCATGCACTAACCAATGGTAATTTTCCAGGAGTTCTCAGAAGGAAGCCTAGGGATGGGTGATCTACGAGAAGCTGAAACTAGGCCTTCCTTCCTTCCTTTTTTTCTTTCAAAAACTGAAAGAGCGGGAGGGGGGGGGGGGGTCGATATTGATCGCGTCGTGGGCAAAATTGAGATCCTGACGAGTTTGTGACGGAGAAGGGTAGGGATACCGGTGGTCTTGGTGGCAGCGGTGGTGGGAGGCTTACTGAGACATTGCTCGTGCCTCTGAAAAGTTTGCTGGGAATCCACCGGGACCCACCCCTCTTTCCTTGATTTTGGGCCAGCCTGGATGGGGGGGGGGGATTAAGGTAGACACCAATCTTAAAAGACCCAGCCAACTAACTTGGATAACTAGAAGTTCATGGCGATATACCGGTTGGCCGTTTATGCTCCGTCGCGGGGAATAACTTCCCGCTCCTTCCTCGTATATTTCATTCGCGCTGTAAATTACTGTACATTCAAAGGCCTGAAGGCATGCTTTTCCATCTATTGGAGTGACTTAGTTGTATCTACTCAATTGCAAGAGGAGAATAGCTTCAGTGAGCTTAGCGGCCTCCCGGCTCCTGCATCCTTCCCTCCACCTATCCGCCCGTCTGTAACTGGGCATCTATGAACGTTCAGATCTCACAGGTTGAAGAATAACAAACGACCGGGGGCTTCACACAGGACGTTTAGGTCTCTCCTTTCCTACTTGCTTCCTCCCAAAGATCGCAGTAACTAATCACCGCTTTCAGTACCGATATTTGCAGCACGGCGAGAGCAGGCTAACACCGCGGGCAAGATAAGGTAGACTAACACAACCCAACCCCCATCACCACCGCCCCCCGACAAAGAGATCAAACTACAGATAACCCAATACCTAACTCTCCACCAGGGCCAAGGTGAGGAGCTCACAGTCCGGTTACGTGCGCCACGCCGTATGTGTCGCATGCACAAGTCCAGCTGATTCGGAGAATTAGACATGGAAAAACAAAAAACCCCACCGTGCGGTTACCAAAACATGTTTACCGTGCAGTACAGGCCAAGCAGGCAGAAATTGTTTGAGACAACTTTTGCCTTCTTTTTTTTTTTTCCTTCTTCTTCATTCCTTGTCCCTTGCTGTCGCGTTGGATGAGGCATGGGCATCTAGGGCAAAAAATGGTTGAGAGGGAGAGAGGTATGTAGGATGCTTTTCTGCGCAATGTTTCTTCGATAGCCCTACTACCTCTCTACCTGCCCAGTCCAAAAGTATCCGGAAATCTTGGCGCGTGCTAGGCGCAAACCGTGCCAATATTTCCGAATACTTTTGGAATGGGCAAGTACAAGTGCCAGGGGAGATGTTTTCGTACAGGACAGGGATTATTTTGCGGGTTAACCTGAATTAACCGTGCGAAAACATTATCCCTAGCACTTGTACCAAAGCTCTATGACCCATTTAGCCAAGACCAATTTTTTCTACCGGCTGCGGAGGCTTTAGGCCAACCCATGGTGCTACCAAGTAGGGATGAGGTCAAAAAGTTGGAATCGGACCTCCTCAGGTTTCACTGCAGGGAGGACCCTACTTTTACCATGTGAAGCTCACCAAAAATACAATGCTCTCAACAGATAGTAGCTATTACTGAGGCTGAAAGACGAAGAAGATGGCGTTTTCTTTTGATGGCGTTAGAAATGGGAACGTTGGTATCGGTATCTGATTCAATTGAGATATGCGCCGATATCGGTGGTCCAGATATGAATTGCTGGCCAAGGCGAGTTTCAGAGAGCCAGTTTGGTGTTGTTCCTTGACGCAACGATGGGTGATATCGGCACTTCTTCATACAGTCAGCGCTGCGGTTAGTTAGTGAGTGGCTGAGGGTGTGAGTGAGCGAGTGGAACACGACATTTCTAACTTGTGGTACGATGTAGCCTCAAAGGATCCACAACTGCGAGGGGGGTAGACTCTAAAACGCCAGAACGTACATCAATCGCTTCAACTAACTTAAGGGCTTGAGCCTTGAGTTAGGCAGAGAAAGAAAAAGGAATCTTCCTTGGTGAGGTGTTTTTTTTCCTCTTCCGCTTTTTCTTTCGTTTTTTTAATTAAGGTTATCCACAGAGTTGTTATTCCTGTCTCCTGTTGCATCAGTTTCCAACCATACGTCTCAGGGCAGCACTCCCACAAGACAGGATCTCAGCCTCAGTAATGTATAAACTACTGGATTCCAGTTGAATCTGTCGTTTCCAGATGTTCTTGGGGGGTAGCCATCTCTTTTATACGGCGCCATTCTCGCCCATCGAGGCCGATCATACCATTCTATACTACCAGCCCTACCAACAAAATCCACACCCTCCCTCTGTTCCATGACGTTCTTCCCGCCATCTGCCGATAAGGGACAACCAGTTCTACCGTGTTGGAAGTAAGCGGCAACATGGGCATAACCGTGATGGACCCCGGGGGGTGAGCAAAACCAACAATTAAGGCGTTGTTGCCGGATGACAACAACAAATATGGTGCTCAGGTTGATCATGGGGCAAAATTTTGTTTGAAACGAAACGACCGAGAAATTTCAGATCATAACAATATCCCGGAAAGCCGAGAGACCATTATTATTATTATTATTTTATTTATTCCACTCTTCATGGTAAAAAGATAGGGTAGGAAAGGTTGGCTTTTAGTTGGCGGTAGTGATGGATCCCGAGAACAAATTGTTTGCGCTCGGACCAACTCGGTTGTCAAAGCTCTTGAGGAATCTACTGCACGGTACTCTCTGCAGACAACACGCGGGATGCTGTATTCGCTGTGATACCATATGATGCTTAGTTATTAAAGGTACCCGACAAGTACTGTAGATGTTCCTCACTCTAAATAGAGTGCACGTGAGCTTGTACGGCCCGTGCTTCTTCACCCAAACCCCCCCTTTACTGTTGTACAGTGCTTGTACGGTGAACCAGCGCCCGGCCCCTGGTCAGTGCTAACATCAAGATCATGAGGAAAGAGGTAGATCCGATAAAATAACGCATTCACGAATCAAGAACAAGTCCGGTGTGGAGGTTCGGCCCAAACACCAACCAATCACCACCGGCGGAAACCGAGGTGGAAGGAGAAGTACCGGGGAATCCTCCCAGATTTTTAGGTTCGGTCAGAAGAGAAACAGCCATTTTCCTTCCCTTCGGGCTATCACACCTTTACCTTGATGTTTTTGCCACGCGCGTGAAGGAAAGAACCGCTTGAAGTTACTTCCACTCACCTGCTATGATATCCTTTCGCCGTCTTAATAGGCTCGCACTCTGTTTATCTTAAACTCTCCCCTTCTCCTCCTCCCTCTTCCCCTCGCCCCAGCTATGTAGTTCTTCCCCTAAATATGCGTGTCTCACGGTACCCGAGGAGAGTTTATCGCTACTGTATGGTGTTTTGAGAAAGTATGGTACCGTAGATGCCTGTAGTCAAGAGAAGGTCAGGTGTACCTTAAGAAACAGACACCGTTCAGGTAAAAAAAATAAAAATAAAACAAAACAGGCCCCAGCATCTGGCACCCCGGGCAGACAGACCCTCACACCGTCATCATCGCCATCATCATCACCATCATTATGCTTTGTATCGACACGCTATATGCTCAAGTAGGAAACGGTCGAAAGGATTTCTCAGCCTTGCGTTAGGAGCTTTGATACCTGCCGGATTACCGTAAATTGCTTTACTCTCCCTTTCCCAATTCAATTACCTACCTAACAGCCCCCTTCCCACTCCCGCCCCAATGCCCCAATACGAAGCAGAGCCTCTCTCAACAGGGCAGCATGACCATACCCATGCCCTGGCCTTGACCGCTTAAGCACGGGTTTCTTTTTTCCCATTCAGCCTGTGATAACATGCCCAGAACCGTTGGTTTTGTCGCAGATTTATATTCACAAGGTACTCTGCGAGAGGGAGTTAGAGTTTTTCCCACCTCGTTGGCACGGGATGCATGCTAGCATGCGGCGGACCAGGTTGGTAGAAAGAGGCAGGGGGGGGGGGGGGTTTGATTTGTTCTGGTTGTTCTCTCATCTCGTATCTTTTTTTTTAAAAAAAAAAAAACCTCCCTAACTTATTTGTTCTTTGGTTGCCGTATCACACACACTACTCGGTACTTTCACTTGTTAGACTTTATTCAGTTGGAGGTTACTATGATTGTATTAAAAAAATCAAAAAAAAATCCCACTTCCATTACATTTAAACCTGACTCATGACCACCGAAGGGCAATAATAATCCATACGGAACATACATACTCACGAAAAGGAAAAGGAAAAAAAAAAAAGGTTAACCAAGTCGACTCCACTCCAAAGCTTAAACATACTGCTACTATTCTGAATAGAGTGGCGGTGATCAGATTCTTTTTTTTCCTCTCTCTCTCTTCCCTCACGAATCAAGACTTTAAAGCGATAAGTGTTTAAAAAGTACCGTGCATGGGAGTTCCTTGTTGCATACAGTACTAACTCAATCTTGTTAATAGCTTGTCGAGGAAAGCTTGGATTTCTTGCGCTGCTACTGCACTTACACTTGCGAGATCTTAGCATTACCATATCGGACCGGCATACTCCCCTCCCAGCCGGCTTTTTGGGAGAGACCATAAAAAGGGAAGCTGCTCACCATGAGTCGTCCCAAGTCACTCGGCAGATCAAGGAACTACACGACAATGGCATACCACAACGCACCTATCCCCTTCGCCGAAGACAGGGCGAGGAACATCGGCTGCGGAATAGCGCCGAAGATGGTCTACAGAGTTAACATACCCTCCGAGAATGACATATCAAGAATCCCTTCAATTCATCCTACGAACGTCGAGACCATAGCTAGCTACAATTGGGTTGTGAGTGCCCACGGTGATCACAAGAGAATACTTGTTCCAGGTTAGTTTTAACTACCTCTGCTCTTAGAGAGCTTCTCGAGCTTTGGTTTCAGTTCCTGCTCCTTCATAAAAAAAAAAAAAAAAAAATAAGAAAAAAAGACAACCCCTTCAGCCATGAGATATATTTCCGGGATCCCCCTCCACCCCTCCTGTACTACAATCATGCATATTTCAGAACACATCACCTCACATCATACTTACGAAAATAACAGGCTACCCTCCCTGCTGGAATCCACAATCCGAGAAAACCCCTATCGAAAAAGATGGCGGCTTCCGCTTCATCGATCAGAATAACTACTTCAGTCCTACAGCACCGCACACGCCCACTCTTCGGGCAGTAAGCACCTGCCGACCAGACGTAAACCTCAATGCGATCAACTTCATAACGGACAGAAGCAACCTGGTCAAGCTCTACAAATTAATAAGCGGATACGTGCCGCAAGCATATTTCGGCCCAGACTCCTGCAAGCAGGAGCCGGAGCTGCGCATCGACGTGGAAGTCATTGGCAGCTCTCTGCTGCTCTCGAGATGGGAGCCGCGGTCCAGCCAGGTCCTCGACGACAGTCAGTACCAGGGCTTCTCGGACAACTTTGCCAACATGTTCACGCGGTACCCCGACACCGCGGCCGGGTTGGGCACGGATGCGCGCTCGCAGGGACACCATCGGGTGCTAGCGTACGTGCTCGGCGGACACAGGTTCATGGTGCGGTACCAGGCGGATGCGTGTGCGGAGACGGTGGAGGAATTGAAGAATATGTGCGGGGGCGATAAGAGCGCCTCCGGGCTGGAGGGGAGTATGAGCTGTATGTCGATTTCTAGGAACCCCACCTCTCCATACGGTAAATGGCTCCACCCACCCGCTTCCTTCCAATTAAAGATAAAAATACACAGGAATGTTCAAAAGCTAATGGCCAACGCTACGCAGACATCCCGGTCCGCAAAACCCCGAACCAAATCCACCCGCACAGCTCCATCATCGGGATCAAGTGCATTTCCTCACGGAAGGCTATTGACTTGGGCAGGAGCCTCCCGCAGGCCTTCTTCTCCCAGACGAGACAGTTGTTTGTGGGACCACACCTCAGCGGGAAAATCAAGAGGATACAAAAGTTCGACCTCGCTGCACCCCTCGCCGACTGGGAACGAGAGAACGAATCGAGCGTGAAGAAGATGGTTTTCATGCTGGAGAAGATCAGAAAGGTGGTAAACGGCATCAAGGGTAAGCGCGCCGCCGTGATATTCGATTGGGAGAAGCGAGGGGACGGTGTCAGGATCTACGCTAGGAACGACGTCGATGTGGGTATCCCTAGGGATCTGGTCGAAAGGTGGGGCTACTAGCGGTTGCAGTGGCGTTCAGGTAGTACTCGTACCGTACAGTATTCGCAGTAAAATAAGTTAGTCCTGCAATCTAGGATTGGCAGCCACGCAGCGGGCGAATGGGTGGATTTTCCCTTTTTATTTATTTTTTATTTTTTTTCCTTTCTTCTTTTTTCCCACCACCCCCACACATCTCCTCGGCCCGATTTTGCTTATGTGAGAGGGGGGGGGGGGGTAGGAATCGGAGTGGGATTAGGGGTGACCAGCGGTTCCCGCCCGTCCGTTTGGAAATTTCGGGGTGCATGCGTTCCATCTCTCCTCGCCTTTTTTTTTCTCCATTTTCATTTGTATGTATCTCTACATTCCTTTCCCTTTTTCTTTTTTTTCCTTTTTTTTTTTTTTTTTTGTTCCGGCTGGACTCGCTGGCTTTTTTTTTTTAGATGCCAAGTAATTCATTGACTCGTTCGGGAAAATAGAGGGCTAAGTATCTATGGAGAAACATTTTACTTATGAGATCTGATGGGCATGTGCTATTCGTAGTGGAGAGAGAGAGACCCGGCAAGGAAAAAAAAAACCCCCCCAATGTATCATGTCATGCCGGACAAGGATATTCGGGGTCAATGAGAGATTGTTTCGTTGTGTTGAGCAGTCCCCATCTCAACTCACCGACCAAAACCATATCTCAATCATGGGTTATGGTTCGCAGCTCGTGCTGAGCCGCAACAGGAAGACTCCAAAATTTACCGGCGATCTTCAGACATTGTAGATCTCACGTGATTTTCATGTATCTCACGCCTTGCCAAAAACTGAGTGGGCTAAAGGGGATTTTTAAAGAGTTTATTGAAACTAGCAACGTCATGCCCGATCCGATCATTCGCAGAATTGTAGGAATGTCTCAAGCCTTCGTACAAACGTCACCAACCCCGTACACACCAGAGAAAACCGGCCGACCTCCTTGTATGCAAATTATGTAGCCATGAAGAAAACCCAAGAGACAAACAGTCAAAGAAGAAAAGGAGGAAGAATGGGCTCTCAAAACAGCAACAGGGAGACATCGAAAGTGAAAGCTAGAAAACATGGAAGACAATTGACCCCTTCCTAACCCGCTGTGATATCAAATGCTAAGCAGACACTGCACAAGTTATCAGCATGCTAAAACAAAAGTTAATGTTAAGGGGAGCATACCGTTTGCATTGCATTACTAGTATCTAACGTAGTGGAACCTTCTACCCTGAGGATCTCCACTGCCGTAATCGGTAGGGGAGACTGGGCGACCGGCCGGCTGTGGAGTAATAATCCCATAGGCATAGGGCGCCGGACCTCTGACCTGCGGTGCAATAAATCCATAAGCAGGCAATCTTGGAGCGGTGGCCGATTCCCCACTCACCACATTGCCTCCGAAGTAATACTGAATACCGCCACCCCCTGCCTGGGCCGCTTGAGCCGCTGGTTGAGCCTGCGCACAAGCCGCAGCACCAGAAACGGGGTACCCTCCAGGGGGGCCTTGAGTGGCGGCTCCAGGGGCAGGATTCTGGGCAGGCTGAGGTTGGATGCGGAATACGAGCTGTTGTCCGGCTGGAATGTTCGCGGCACAGGTGGAAGGTGGTGGCGGCCCGGAATAGATGACACGAGTCCCCTGCGTAGAGGCGACGGCTGGAGGTTGAACCGACATCTGCACGGAGGTGGGATAAAAGTTGGCAGGAGCAGGCTGAACCGCTATCGGAACCTGGGGGGGAAGCGGGTGAGGGAGGTGAACAATGTTGGGAAGTGTATAGCCAGCTGGAATTCCCCCGTAGTGAAGACGGGGCTGGGAAGAGGGATTATTTTGAGCCATTGAGGAGACAAAGGCGGCTTATATAGAGCGCCTTTTTGGAAGAGATTGTGTGTGTGTGTGTTTGCAGTGCGTTGTTGATTGACTGACAGGAAGTGGATGAGCTAGAAGGGAGGAGACTGGGTGGTAGAAATAAAACCTCCCAGTAGAAAAGCTAGCCTCTACCTAAGAGCTTTTTTAGGGCTTAGGCCTTTCCCCAAATAAATCACCTACAAAGCCACTCGGAAATTTTCCAGACTTTCTTGACCATGTGTGTGGGGGTGTCGTCATTTTTCTAGGATCCTCACTGAAGAATGGTTCTAAGCAAGGCGAGTGATAAAACATGACGAAAAACCCTCTGAGGGGGCCTAGCAAGAAAGTATCCCTTAGGCTCCGTTTGGTGGGAACGGAACCGTTCGTGACCGTTCCGTTTCAAATTGGTTGCCCCTGTAGAAACGGACCACTTCCGTTCCGTAACAGTCGACTCGGCACATTTCAGAACGGAACTGTCGATTTATTCCATAGTTACCAAACACCAGTTCAGTTCCTTCCGTTTTGAAACGGAAGGTAACGGCCTTTTGAATGCACAAACGGAACGGAACGGTCGTATCCAAACAGGCCCCTAGATGTTTGATATGATCTGTGATGCACATGCTAACTGAGAGTTTCTCCTTACAGGAACCCTACAGGAACTATTTATCATGCTCAAGGCTGGAGAAGCTGGAATAAGAATCTAATACGCGGCTACTACTCAGAAAATCAATAACCCCTCAGAACCAGATTTAATCATCCATCCCTATATTCCGATCTATGATATGATATCTCAAAAAAACATTAATAAGCTAGAAGATTCTTTCCTTACCCTTCCCACCATTATCTACCCTTCCCTTACTACGGATCCTAGCGGGGCACTTCCTGAGAGAGCCGAACTCATAAAGACACCTTGCCAACCTCCCTTACTAGACTTTCAGATAAAGTTTATTGGAGAATAATTGGTGGAAACATTGATATATCAAATCCATAGTCCGGGGAGTGCGAGAATCCGGAAACGGTCGGTGTGCTATCATAATATTTAGCACCAGAAAGCCAGTTCCATTCGCAACTTAGGAGCCTCGGCCACCTCACCAGGGAAAATGTCAGGGAGCGAAAGAGTCATATCGATCCCATATCGATCCTGGGGGGCTCTCTTCAGAAGTACAGGAGATAATAGCGTTCTAACTATGTTTCGTACAGCTTGTACGAGAGCCCTTCGGCCCCCTGCGAGGCTTCTTGTCAACGCCTGGATACGGATCAGGCAAGGTCCAGGAACCCAGGGACCCCACCATTCTAGTGAGCACCATCAGAATGTGAGCACCGGAGAGTGGAGAGAGGAAGGAAGGGAACTGCTCGTTGTATTTCTTGCTACCGCCACCCATATACAAAGGAAATACATGTGTGACAAGCCTCAGCTTGTAGGTCACCCAAAGCCCTAACCATCATGAGGATAACCCCAGTACAAACTACTAACACAGAAGTGTGCCCGGATCCCACAAGATCAAAGCACTTCCATCTTCCTCACCCGAAGTTCGGAAATTGATATTTCTCACACGAGCAGCCGACTCGCATTTCTACCTGCCCAGGCCAAGGTTCTATTAGTCAACAGGAGGTTACCAATCCAAGGGGATCCACAGAGTGTGGCCTTGCTCTGCCCCACAAGCGCCCCTATTCTATATTCTAGTTAGGCTGTCCGAACATGAGACATCACTAGGATCAGGACCACTGGGTATCACCTGTTCAATGCCGACCATACTCATTGACTAAATGCCCCATCAGCTACTGGTACTACTCGTATTTCTGCGATACTTCCACCGGTGCTCTTTTTAACCATTCGCGCCCAAATACCGCAACCAAAGAAGATTCTCACTGCAGCATTCTTTATCACACTAACCGACTCACACAGCTCTTCCACTGGGGTGACTAAACGTTGACAGGACGTTGAGATTAGGATAGGTTTCCGAACATTGCCTGTAGCACAAGCTAATAGACTAACGCGAGGTCAAATCTGGAATAACCCGAAAATAAGCAGAACCCCTGCTTTTTCCAAGTTGATCAATCAAGAGTACCAGGTACAGTATGAAGGGTAAGTCTATCGAACTTCCTCGAGTTAGCTAGGGGGCCTTCTCGGACGTTCAGAGGGTAGTGTGTTCTGCCCAGCCACTGCGATAAGAGTCCCACCAACCTTTTTCCTCAGCCAAATGTTCGTGTGACTAGCAAATTAGGTTGCACAATTCGCGTTACACACAGGTGATTTCAACTAGCCGGACCAGAGCTCGACAGCTCCAGGGGCACCCACTTTTGCTCGCCCTAAGCACAGCACTAAGCACCGTACGGTCCTGCCATACCCGCGGCCAAACCAGACGGGTGGCGAACGGGAACCAGGCACGGGCAATTTCTTGTTGCGGTACCGGTACAGTACTTGTGCCCTGCTACTTTGACGATTTCCCTTCCCACCCATCAAATACCGGTACCGTACCCCTCCCTGTTAGTCACCCACCAGAGTTTCTTCAGGGTACTGTGCTGGTATTGTGAAAATCATACTCAAGTACGAGGCTGGCGCCATAAATGGTGAGCAGTGCAAGGGTTTTCCACCGAAAATAGCCATATTCATGACCTTCCAACCACTGATTTAGTCAAGAAACCCAAACTAAATCTTCATCTCTATCTGAAACAATTCCCTGGATTTTACTTTCCAACCTTTTAGAACTCTCTATCTAAAGTAGTTGAGGAATTATCAAGAGAGCTATGGTTGGTACATTGGTCTTGGCGCAATTTTTGGTAATTTTGTATGGGAAATGGCAAGGCTTGGCGCTGTTTTCAGCTTCAAGCCCAGAATATTGCATCCCAAACTAGCTAAAAATTCTTTAATAATCCATGAGCACTTGGGGAGATATTTGAAAGAATTTTGAACCTGATCATTAATTTTTCAATTTTTTTGCAACTCCAGAATGTATTGAATGGAATGTGTGAACTTGCATGGTTTGGGTTGTTACATGCCATTTTGCTCATCATTTTTGTCGCCAGCCTCGTACATAACTCGAGTGGAGCTAGCCAAATGCCGGTATATGGCGACAAACGAGCGGATCTGAGCTCATACGAATTTACAGCTCCTGTTTTTCGGGTACACCTTGCCAACTAAATGAGCACAGTACTGTACGAGTACTGTAGGGACTCGTAGACCTACTATCAGAATATCAGAGGAAATCACCACACCACGACATATCCAGCTTGAAAGGTTAACAGAATTGTGATTACCGTGCCGTACCGGCTGATGAGATCCAACACATCCGAAGGGCTCGGGCTACACAGTACCATGTTCGAAAGGGACTGATCTCCCTGAGGAGCTTTTGCCTCTGAGCCGGGAGATTGGAACCCTGCGGGAGATAGCGAATTGTAAGAGTTCTTATGGTATTGTTCGGATATCGCATAGGACAGTAAACTACGGTACCGGTGTGGTGCGAGGATGGTTTTAGGGGTTTTCTGGTCATGTTTGCTAAGTTTTTGCCCATAGAATTTTCTGTTTGGGATGAGGCTTAGCAGGTGGCTGTTTTTCACCTGGAGGCATGGCCTTGCCTTCCTCAGAGAGAGCGGAGGAACAACACAGCAAGAACCTATCCTGTACAACCAACACAACCACCTTCTTTACTGTTGTTTCTGGGTGTTAATTTCCCCACTCCTTTCGCTTGCTTTTTCACTGTGTTTTACTGTCAACTTTATCAGCATAATTCTACACTCTTATCCGATTGAATATCACATTGTACGGTTACCACAATTGCACAGGTGTCAGCTCGGTCAATCACACCATCCAAAATCCGGAAGACAACCGAGACACTTCCACACCGGTACTAGACTCAGGGGATGTGTAAAAGTCTGTCTGACTCTTCAATGAATTTACCTGTCCCAGCACCGCCGATCCGGCATATGTCGGGCTCGGTTCCGGCCGGCCGAACCCCAACGAGAGGCAGCTGCACAGACTGACCCTCATCTCCCTAGAACCGAACACGGATACCGGTACTTTGTAACCGGTAACTTTCAAGTTTCTTCTTTCTCCCTTGCCCATTTAATAGGGATATTGCGTTGTTTATGTCCGTAGACTTAAACCTTGGCCTATTATATGGCTAGCCTGCGCATAGGGAAAAGGAGGTTCTGAAGACAATTGCGGAAAAGGCGCTCCCCCGCACCCAAATCCCAGAACTATGGCCCATGAAATCATCCTAAGCCAATCACCCCTAGGGAGTTTGCGCAGGCGGACCTAGGTGGGAGTTGTTAACGATGTTGGTAGGGGTTGCCGCTCCCATCTGTGGGACGTCGGACCCAGACCCCCTGACAATTGTTGCGTTTCTTATACTCAATTCCTTCAACAGGTCATACAGTAGCCAACTACCAGCTTCCTTGAAGCCACTCTTGTTAGGATTGTGCTCAAGAAGCATGAATGAAGAATCATACTCTAATGGAGGCATAAAAGTGCAGTGGAAATGGGCATCTGCGGCCCTCAATCCCAGGTCCAAATTTGGGGTTTTCACACCTCGATCAGGTGAGGCTACAGAACCAGTGGCCAAGCCTTATTGCTAACCTATATTAAGACCAGCTAGGTCTCACCGCGGAAACCCTCCATTGCTTACTCGAGTACTCGAGTACACTGTCTAACAATCCCGAGTTCACGCGACCGGTAATTCCTGAATTATGCGGGATAACGGCTCAGAGCAGGGACCTAATTTACGCCTGAATTGACTCAGGCTCCGTTTGGCTCGCCGTCGGTTGGGCAGCTCGTCTATCCAAAACGCGTTCTGGCCCAAAAGCCGTCTTCAATCCATTGCGGTGTTTGGCACATCGTCATTCTGGAAACCTACTCGTATCAAGCGGCGGCGCGCTTGGCATTCCGCAATTTTTCGGAAACGCCGCCTTCACAAACACGTTCTGAATCGATGACGAGCCAAACGGAACCTTATCTAACAGACTGCATTTGGGGGGGTGGAAGGCCGTTGCTGCTGTGACAAGTTTAAATTCACTTTCTTGGCTCCCCGCTGAACCTTCCTACCGTATTCGGCCGTGCCGATCATCTCTGCCCGGAAATTGTGGTCCACAACGGGGGGCTCAATCCCTGAAATCGAGCTCCGCCCTAAGAGTACAAGCCGGATTGTCCGAAGATACGAGCACCTGGAATCGCACGGGAAGTGCTTCGGAATCCGGTGGAACCCGTCAGTACCACGCATTTTTGTGCAATGAGGAAGACAATCGCCCAAAACACCACCCCAGACCTCGGATATCGCTCAGCCCTCTTGAAAAAGGAAACTTACCATACCTGAGTACGGTGCTTGGATGCTCTGATTATTTTATCCATTTTCTGGAAACCTTTAATTCTATTTTCCTACATTGTTTAGGAGATAAAAGACCGGTGGGCCCCACACTGGTCTGGTTGTTCATCACTATGCGAAACCATTAGACAAAAATGCAAGGTACTGTACAGTACTCGTACAGTGTTAAAGAGGATTTTTCCTTGGAATCTACTCAAGCGCGGACACGGGCGATTGGGCACTCAGGGACACTGAGGCCTGACCGTTGCATCCCCTAGGGAATAAGAGGGTGAATTCGGTATGGAGATATCTCAAACAAGCAAGGGTTATGACACATCCTAGCGCCTAAGTGTCAGGTTACCCAGGTTCATATTCGATTACGATAACCCATTGCGCAAGAATCTAGAGCAAGATCTAAGACATCCAAGTTGCTCCGGTACCTGGAGAAGAAAGGGCATTCCTCCGCTTCCCCGGTCGCACATGAGGAGCTAGAGATATACTCGAGTACTGCTAGCTGAGTATTGAATTGACCGCGACAAAATGGGACCCAAAACTCTTATCCAGAAGTTGCCAAAGACTCTCAGCACCATGCGGATTGAGCCAGCTTCTAGGTTCATGATTTTTGCAGAGTTCACAGAGGGGGGGGATCAGCAGCACATTTGAGCTTCTTTATTTTGAGTTACCAGACTGGATCACGATCAAGGATACCAGAGTCCCATTCGCATACTGCAACCGGTATCCAACTGGCCTATCACAATCACCCTCTTTGCATTATGGTGGAGGCGCATACCCAAAAGGCACCCAAGTGCAATACTGGTAATCCCACATTTCATTTCCACCATGGTACCGAGTCGCATGATATCAACGGTAGCGGAGGCGTTCAGCCTCGCAGTCAAAAAAGCCTTGGAAAAAAAATACCTGCGCAAACGTTTTCCAACCCAAGGGCTGAAATTCTATCATACCTGAAATCAGGTTCTTCCAACGCCCCTCTTCCTCGAAACCACCAAACATCTTTGGTTGTACTGGTACTATTTTCCCTTCTTTTGCCTAGCTTGCGAGGAAAGCCCCTCCCCGAGAATGACTTTCGGACAAGCTAGCTGCTCGCATTTCAGTATCCACGGGCGGGGAGTAAGTAATAAATGTGAATACGAGCTCGGCAAGGGTGCAGGGCACACGCTGGCTAGGGGTTGAAAAAAAGCAAGCAGCACTCACCCGTGGTACGGAGAAAAACTTTGTTTTTTTTCCTTCAGTGGAACACTAGCTTTCCAAGTACTCGAGTACCAGGTACTTGTGCTACCGCTGTCTCTCTCAGCGCCTAGCCCGTCGAATTTTTTCTTTTTCTTTAATGATATTTAATTCCTCCCTTCCTCCCTCCTGTTTCTTCTCGGGCTACTGCTGCTTACCACCGCTCCCGGACTCTTTCCCCTCCTCCTTCGTCCCTCGTCCTGTCACCCTCTCAACGTCTTGGCTTCTCCATTCCAAGACTTGGTTCACTTGTTTTTGACCTCACGAATATAAGGTTTAGGGACCTCTTCACTTATCGGTCGTTTACTTTAACTGCTGCACTAGGTCTCTCCTTGCCGCAGGATGAAGGGTTCTTTCTTGACGTTTGGTATCGCCCTGTTGGGGCTGCACCAACCAGCGCTCGCAAAAAAAGGTGGCGGGGGTGGAGGCAGTGGATCGAGTGGATCGAGTGGATCGAGTGGATCTAGTGGATCTAGCGGATCGAGTGGATCGAGTAGTGGGTCCGGAAGCGGCAGCAGTAGTAGTTCAGGATCCAGCGGAGGAGGTTCAGGTTCACGGTGCTATGACACGACTACAAGTTCAATCGGGAATGCCTCAGATCCGTTCGATATCATGTATAAGAATCAATGGTTGTATAAGTTTGTGGGGTCCTATTATAACGGTTCTGTGGTTAGTATTCTTTCCCCATTTCTTAATTGGGAAAGAGTTTGGTGTTGACAATGGACCACTGCTATCACGCAGGAGATCGAAGCGACGATAGATATGGGGGACACCTCCTGCGAGGAGCAGAGGCCCATCTTTAAGCAGAAACTTGACGCAGTCCTGATGGTCGGCGAGGAACTCAATTTACCGGTGGCTGAGCCGAGTAATAATCCGTACATGTTTTCGATTGTAGGCTGGGAAGAAGGGACGCGGCCTGGCGGCATTCCAAGTTCTGAAACCAACTGGGTCTCTCCGGATGCCCGATTGGTAAGTGAATATGCCTTGAATAGTCCCCCCGGAAGCCAGGAGATTTATTCACCCCTCCCAACAGATCTACGAGTCCATCTCCGACGTCAGAAGTCCATACCAGTACTCCAAACACATAGCCTGGGGAATAACCAACCGAAAATCCAGCAATGGTTACTCCTTCAACGCCACCTTCGATCAGAGTGTCCTCGTCAGTTCCCCCCCTTTCACCCGCGCAACAATGCTAACAGACAAACACCAGCCCTGGGACGAATCCCGCACAATTTTCTCCATAAGCCCCTGCAACGGTTCGCAGCCCGTCGACTTCCACATGGAGGCGTACGATAGGTACAATTTCATGTACAAGACGCCAGAAGATGACCAAAATCGCACGCGCGCTAATGGCACCTTCGACGATGCCTCCGCCACCCTCTCCATCGCCGGCACGTTCAGCGGGAGATTTATGAACTGGTACAGCCGGTATACCAGCAGCAGCTCCAGCAATAGTCCCAAGTATGGGACCTACACACTCAAGTTCTCCGGGAACCTCGACCGTTCGCACTCGCACGCACTGAGCACCAGCGGGCAGAGGCCGAGCTGGACGGAGGATCAGCACTTGCTCCCCGGTGGGTCGAGGGTTTCTGCCCCGGCCGCGGCGTCCACAACGTGCATTGGGGGAACCTCCGCTATGAGTCGGGCTGCGGTTGGTAAAGCTGTTCCCTGGCTGGCCGGGTTGGCCTGGTTAGTAGCAGTTGGGATGGGAATAGTTTTGTGGTAGTTGTTCGGTTATGATATTAATAATTCTTCCCCCTTTTTTTTTTTCATGGGTACTGTATACTTAGGAGGGTCTTCTTTTTTCCTTTTTTTTGTTGACGTTTCAGCACTCTCGGGATGGGGGATGGAAGGAATGGTACTTTAAGTGCTTGCATCGCTAGGCGGAATGCAACTTCAATAGTGTAATTCTCACGACAGATAAATAGGGTTTGATTATATTGTCCATAGCTATCCAAGCCCCAGGAGGCACTTTATCGCTACTGTATTACAAACATTTGGCTCCCAAGTCTGCATGGTAGCCACCCTATACCGCCAAAACTGATGGCAACACTTTTCTGTAGGGAACTGAATGCGCAGAGGAACACTGACTGAATGGAAACACCGGAGGGTGGAGGATACTGAGGTGGCTTTGCAGAACGCACTGGTGAGAGAAACGGCACAGAAACCTTGAGGAGTGGAGATGGATTGTGGACGATCTATCTCCAAAAAGAAACAAAGGAAAGCAAACTAAGAACACCTGGTGGTAGCTCCTCACACCAAGGGCTAACCACTGTGCAAAACATAAAAATGACAGTCCTGCTAAACAGGAGGACAAACCCACTCCAGTCAGCATACCCTAACATCATATGATACGATGGGATTACTCCATCAAAAACCAATGTATATCCCATAGCGTCTTGGCTTCCGAGTGATCACTCATGCACCGCCCTCAGACCTACGGTATCATATCATACTATATCATACTTTGTGAACACCAGGTTCAAAAGTCGCCCGGTGGGCTATTCACGCTTAATTAATGGTTTACCGTGATTGTGACGGGCCGCCTCCATACATCTTAAAAGGGTAACCTACCGGTATTCAATCACTACTACTCCATCCCCCACTTCGTTCTTTCTAGGTCACGGCCCATCCAGGGTTCACCTGACAGAGTAAACCCGCCATAAAATCCCTCAAGTGTTTTATTGGAAAGGTCTACCCCACTTAGTTACGTTCATTAACTACTCCGCAAAGGCACACAGACTACAATAAAACTGTGGACCCACATCGCCACTATTGTCAAAGAATTTTCTCCTAGTAACATCTGCGCTCTCTCCGCATCGCCACCCGGTTTGCGCGCAATTGAATCACGAACAGCACCAATAAAGCAAAGCACAGACTCCGCTCGTGGAGGCACGTATTGGCCCTGTCGTATTACACTGGCTAAGCTACAGTACCTTATCGGACCAGCAAATGAAATATGACACCTTCAATCACCCAAGGGCAGAAACAAATGAGAAAAAGAAAGAAAAATAAAAGGAAATTAAAGCCAGTTAATTATCATTCCGAGAGTCCTTTTCCACCAGTGCAGAAGAATTTTTTTTCTTGGGTCGCGTGTCCCATCAAAACGGAATAGCTTCCTCACACAAGTTCTAGATCCTAGTCCCTTGCCAAGCCACTGCACCCACCAAGGCCCCAAATGTCACTACGAGTATTGGCTCTGTCCAAAGTATTAATAAACTGGTGCAGTTTTCGCCTAAAGATCGCCTCCACTTGCGTAGCTGAGAATTTTCCGCCAGGAACTTTGTCCATGTGTTGCATACAAGCCCTGAACACCTCGCGGGCATGGTGTTCGTCGAGCAATTCACCACGGTTGCAGTAATTTCGCAGCAGAAGTGTGAGTTTACCCCTTGTGCGATTGCGTGCTAGGTAGCTATCGACCGAGTATAGAGTTTCCGGATTTATCAAAAGGTCCTCCTCATGGTTGTAAGGCATCAATGGGATATTTGTGCCGGATTGGAGGAAAGCTGGTTCATCAGCCATCCTGGTTCCAGCACTGTCATTCCCCGTGGGATCAGGGTGGATAGGAGAGCCTGGAGAGTATCCTAGACCGCGCCTGCCTACTTTGACAGTTATTGGTATCGGCTCTGCTATGCCATCACTATTACGCCCGAGCCCCTTTCCCTTCTCAAAACCCAGTCTCTCCATGGCTCTAAACCCCATGCTAGTTTCAGACAATATGGATGTATCCGTACCGGCAATTATATCTCCTTCCCTGTAAGTACGCGCCCTTCGGTACCGTATCTTTTGATTCCGCGGCGGTCTCACATTCGAAGGACTATCGACCGATAAGGAAAAGTCTTCAGGAAGCCCATTGAATTCAGCATATCCTCTTTCCGCGTCGTCGGCTCCGAAGGCCGAACGTGGGGCATATTTTTCCCTTACAGTTGAAGAAAACTCCTTCGAAACTTTCAAGTTATCCATCCCTTGGAAAAGTTCGGTGCGATTGGTAGGCTTAGCTGCTCTAGCATGGGTTATTTGAGTGGAGTTACCACTGACGTGGTCACCCGCATCGTCAGGGTAAAAACCGAGACCCCCGAATGTTGCGGGGGTGGGCAGGTGCTGATGGGACCCAAAATCATTTGTAAGATTCCCATTAGGGTCACTATTCCCCGTATCTTTTCCGGGGGTTCCAACCCCACTGGCTGTGTCGCTCTTGTTTGACCCAAGCTTCACGGAAGCAAGCCCCGGAACCAAGCTATGCTCAAATTCAGATTCCGAGTCTGGGGCTAGGCTATTTATGGATGCCCTAATGGGGGAGTAAAATTTGAGCAGAACCCCTCCGCTCTCATCTTCATCGGAGCTCACAAAGCATTCGCCGTCAGGGCTGGTACTCTTCCGCTTCTTCTCATCCGGTGCTTTGGCCTCCCTTTTCGCTTCCAGGGCCTTGCCTTTGACAAAACGGATTGCAGGTTCCCTCAAGTATGAACGTAAAGGGGGTGTAAGGTTTGGAGAGATACGAACAGGTGAGGGAATCTCGCAATCGCCGTTTGCGTAAGGGAAGGAATCGAGTGATCCCCTTTGGGAATTTGAACGACGAAATCTTCCCCGCAAGTCAAGACGACGCACTTTGCTAGGCATTTTTGGAGATCTAGGCTTTCTCATGGGAGTGTGTATAGCGGGATCAGGGGGGGAGGATGCTTCCGTCGCCTGTGGATGATCTCCTGGTGTTGTGCTCATGGGACCTTTATTCATCTTGGTATCAGCAACGCCGACATTTATGGGGCGCGGGTCGTGCGGGGTCAAACCTTGTGCAGCTCCAGGCTTTATTTGCCCTAAATCTTCCTTCAGTTCTCGGGGAAATTGTCTGCCGATCGGGAGCACTTGAGATGGGATAAGACCTGTAGAGATAAAGGAGTGATGGAAATCATCAATGGAATTTATTTCGCGAGCCAGTGGCTGCTTTTGGAGTCTGTGGGCACCGCGTTCGATTCTCCGCATCTTGTAGATGGTTGAGGGATGGAACAAGGAAGTGATGCAGAGGAAATGATAGATAGAAGTAGACAGGAGAGGGTGCTAAGCTAGCTGCCTAAAACAGGGGTGCAAGTGTCGTTTGTCGATGGCTAAGTTCTAGGGTTGTGGAGCATACCCTAGGCCTACCCACCGGTCGACATGCAAGGCAGCTCTTTTGATACGAAGTTTAAGGCGGGCTTGTCGTAGAAAAGTAGGATGCTGAACAAGCGCTTCAAAAATTTCTCCCGAAACTTAACGGCATGTTCATCTCCCTCAAAGCCCTACGAAAAACGAGGACTTAGTCGATGCACACACAATCACTCGTTGCCCGCTATTGCGAGCGCCGGAACAAGTGCAGCAACCATGCCTAAGGCGTCTTTAAAACTCCACAGCACTCGAAATTTTGGCTAGCGATACACTCTGCTGTACGCCGTCAGTGTCTCCAGTGGTAGGGAGGTTCTCAGTTCCCGATACACCGGTAACTTAGGGTACGGCTGTATTTTTCAACCCAAAATCGATTTTCATGCAAACCAAGGCACCTTCCGGGTTGCAATAGGTATGATACTAGCCGGAGAAACAGACACTAGGAACCTCCCCCTTTCCAGGAAAATGTGTCGTGTGCTGGGTACCGTACAGATAATTCCCAACCTCCCCAGTCTATAGCTGTCCGTTAGGGTGTACCGGAGGGGTTTTCCTTGTTAAGTCTGCAGGTCTATCCGTATCACACGGGGGGCCCACAGCGCAACACCCCAACGCATGGCCTGGAAACCCCTCTTAAACAGGGGAAGCCCCAAGGGCAGCCTCGATATGAGACAACTAAGCGATAAAAATGCCGAGATCATCGAACAATAACTCACTGGTTGCCTCGTTAATGATCCTAAATCGGACGCTCGTGTATTATGACATGAAAACTCGCCCCACTCGTAGAGGAAACTAATCTTATGAGTAGTAAAAGAGGAAGAAAACTTCTTTAAAAGCTCCTCTCCTCCATTGACCTTTTTCCACAAAGTGAATGAGCCAGGAAATTCAACACTTCTGGGCCCTACTTGAGTGTGCCGGTGCATCCGATAGTTATGGTCGCCTCGTGCTTCATATCAGAGGGTTGCGCCGAGGGCTAGGAACCCCTACCAAATCCCCCGCCTACCAGATTTACATGACGAATATATCAGTTTGTCGCAAAAACTCGCGCCGCCAAATTGGAAAAGGGCACTTTGTGTGGGAAGCACCCCTTAGGTGTCTGGATTCAACTCGACCGTTGCAGTATATTCCCTATGCTAGAAGCCTCACATGTTGAGTCAAGTCTTCCTAGTGTCCGCCGAAAACCAGCAGTGGCATAGGTGTACCCCCCTGATGCTGAGGATGCAAGCCAAAGGAGCCAAAGGAGCCAAAGGAACTGGAAAGAGTTTCCATGGTCCAGATTCAGCATGATTTCCCCGGGCTCACAGTACTTTGCGAGAAGTAAGCAGCAGACAAAACACAGGCATTGGTATGTGACCAGATTATTCTCACTCGGAAGTGAATTCTGTTAACAGCTATGATACACGAAGTTAAATGCGATGAAGGCTTGGCAACCTACAAGCCCCTCCAAAAGCACGCATTTAAATACTAAGGAACTCATAAAGTAGGCAGCACACTATCTAAAGATGCAAACAATATCTTACTCAAAACCTCCATCCATAGTGAAACCTGTTAGGAAATGTGGAGAGGGAATGAAGTACAAAATTGCGAACATGGGATTAGCAGATGTGGATGAAGGTCGATGGTAGGGATTGCGTATGCATTCCAGTATATACCGGCAGTGCTTGTAAGAGGACTCACAGCTGTTGTTTGCTTTTCTCCTTATTCTGTCTAACTCTACTTCCTTCTCTTGATTCTTTCTTTTGAATATAATAACTTCAACCTAAATTCGAAAAAAATTCACCATCATAATATTATAGGAGCTTGACCACAGCCCTGGGCAATGGCAAACCTCTTCATTTGGGTTACGGGAGATCCCATATTAGGGTATCTAAAATATATATTTCATATCATAAGGCGAAGCTTCAACAGGAAAAAATCGTAGCATATGACACCCAACTCAGAATCACTCGATCACATCAAAACTCCCCCACTTAGTTTGTCAACTCTGTAAACGTAGTTGAGCCAAAGAAGGGTTGTAGTTACAGGCTGGGTCTCTCTTTTTTCAGTGATCGAACTAGGGAAAGACATGGCAAGTGTTGTTTCAGAAAGTTTATATCAAGCTTTGGGTTTCTAAAGCGCATCGTATCTGCTGTCATCGCAAGCGCGATACCTATGCATCCGCCTTCTGGTAGAGGGCTCGTGGATGATCCTCATCGAAAACAAAATCTATTATAAACTTCCCTATCGCGCGCCAGTCCCATACCACGGATAGAGTCCAAACAAACTAGATTGAGCCACTAACTCCTCCATATTTGAAAAATTGTCTTGACCCAGCCTTTCCAAGTTTTTAGCGGCCCTGATAGACACCGACCTACCGGTGTTAGGTTTATGATGCCAGTAAATCCCTCCAATCTTACCCCACCTTAAGGAACTCCTGGATGGCAATTACCCGATAATGACCATCTGATAGCCCAATCGACCAACCAGATGCGAGCGAGGGAAGGAAATAAACCAATCCCACATCAACAGGATAAAACAGAGCTCTCTAATCGCAGGCGAGACAAAGACCCGAACGAAGTATTTGAGAGCACAAATAAACCAGCGCACCTACAGGAGCAATAGTATCGAATGGCGAGTGATCTCGTATGATAAACAGTCAAGCATTGAAAAACTGGGATGCTCATCTGTGAAGTATCCGGAAATAGAATAGAGGAGCAGCGGTCTCCGAACCCGGGAGTAAAACACCAGTTCTGGCATTTTTATCCCAGATACTTAACAAACTGATGAGTAGTGTAACGGCTTCTCGCATTGCGAAAACTCTTCACACTCTATACTCTATCAAGCATCGCATCTCATGAGAAAAATCCTGGCCCTAACACCAATACTCATTGTCAGCTGCATCTTCTGTTTCTCGCCCCTTCCTTCCTAACAACACAGCTCTCCAGGCCTACAACCGCGTGTTCAAGCATAGTCCTAAACCTCTCCCCCCACTCCACTTCTATCCTGCTTACCCTTTTATCCCCAACACATTTAAATTATTTGATCCTCATAAATCCTTTCCTCCTCCCTTTCATGGTGCACTGTACATCCGTACCAGTTGGGCTTTTTCCTGGGGAAAAAAAAAATCAATCTGTTCCCCTAATATCAAAACAATAAGAACAGAGCTAATCCCTGCATGGACAGTCGAAATTATCTCATCGATCGAACCAAAGTCCAATAAACAGATAAGGAATAGGCTAATAATGGGTCTTATTGGCCGGCCTGAAAACAAATCCCTACCCCCCCTAAAGTGGCTTAGCAGTCCCGGGGGTGCATTCGAGCAAGTTATCACCGCCGTGCGCCCGGTGTCGGTTTTATGGTTTGATAGATGTTGAGTTACCAGGTCTGCCATGATACCGGTACAGCAGCATTAATATAATAGTGCTTGACTGCCAAGCGCTACGAGGTCCGAGGTTCTCGATGCACGGCTGTGCTACCGGCAATGCTCGAGAATTTCAAAGATATCCGGGCACCTGCAAGGATCCATGGTTGGATGGGTCTTGGCACCAAGGTGTCCGCGGTATGATACTTATGAAATGCGAGTACGGTATTACCTAACCACGAAATCGGTTTTCAATTTCCCAACCCAGGTACCGTATACCCTTCCAGGTTACAACGAGCTTTAGCTAGAGCAAGAAGACACTGAAAACTTCTTTTTCGGGTAAGTGCAGTGTGTACTGTTCTGGTTGCTGTACCTCTCTCCTGCGCAGTGCTAGTATGTAATGCTGGTACCCTCCGTACGGCTCATTCTTGGACAGCTGGATTCGACCATTCTAGGGGGCTATCTGTGTCGTGAAGCGCTAGTGCCGGTGCCACAACAACCAACTACTTCAATCCGCTCCAGATTGGTTGCTGGACGCAAGCTATGACACCAGGTTAGACTCACTTAGCTGAGTACACCAAGTGCCCGTAAATAGAAGATACCTGTTGGAAGCCAAGTCTGGTTTCTAGACTGTCGCATTTGACTGGGTACTGTAGGGCTTTCATCATACCTGAGCAAACTTGTTGTGTGAAGTGGAGTTCTGAAATCGCTAATTTACTCCCGCAGGGTGTACCCTCCATACGCATAGTATCTCACTCGGATTTCAGGAAAAGAGAACCCCAGTGCCGGAGTATCACATCTGAGAATGGACGTGCCCGCTGTCTTATATTCCCAAATTGGGCATGGAGCCTTTTTGTATCGTGGCACGAGAAGCTTTGGATATTCCGGTATCAATAGCAACACTTCCCGGGATTGAAAAAATATGCATATCGACCGTTTTGCCCTGTAGATTTAGATCACATGATCCAATTTGAATTCCATAACTTGAGCCTCTTGGCTGGAACGGATCTCTTGGGGAAGCATAAGCCTACCGGTACGATACTTGATGACTATGGCACTTTATGGCATCATACTGCGTCCGAGACTTCGTCCCTGATCATACGGTACGTTGCATGAGGAGAAACTCCTCGAGCGGGCCGAAAGTTTCTTTACTATGACAAACGGTCCTCAATCCAAAAATAGTTTTACTGCTAGAACAAGCCAACTTTGCTCAAGTACACAACTTCTTCCGGGCTTGTAGGTCTGTCGATAATAGCAAGCAGCGTGGCATCAAGATTTCATCCTTGAGCGGGGGAGGCGCTTGGAGGATTGCAGGAATCCTCCTCATTTTCAGACGGGAAATTAAGGTACGGTGGGGCAGTTTTTTTGTTCCTTTGTCTCTCCCGAGAAGGCTTTGGATTTGGCCTTATCAGCACCAACCACAATGCTTGCCAGGGATAATTTCATAGAAACATGTGGCAGGGCGAGAGACTATTTTGTATAACACTCGAGTAGTCGTGAGCGGTGGTGCAGTATCAATCTTATTGACCAAACGCCTGGAGCTACTATTCATTCCTCAAATCTGGTGGACTGACATACCGGGTTCCCTTTTCCTATGGGGAGATCAATCTTTGCCCACAAAGTTAATTGATCGAGTGTCATCTCAGTGCGTGGCAGAGGGGTTTGGCCCCTGCGGTTTGGTCCTTTTTTTCGGTCAAAGATTTCCAAGACAGAAGTCATGAGCCTCAGAGCAACTTGCCCAAAAGGGGGTCAATGAGTGGATGGTAGCGGTTAGTAACTTTTTTGACTAATGCTCTCATTGGCAGTCGGGTAGATATGATACAAGTACCGGTAGTATTGTCTTACTTAAGGGATGGGGTTTAGAGTCACTCCCCTCTCAGTGGGTGGGAAATTTCCAACACAGTATCAAGACCGCGGGGCCAAACGTCTGTAGTAGCAAGACGCCTCTCCTGCTGTGGTAGTGTTTCTGTTGTTGTCAGTGTCGGGGTTCGGTGATTCTAGATCCAAAGTCTAGAGGACCGACATTTGAGACGACTCCAGGATGTTTTGTGGCCGGATCTCGTGGTGGAAGTGTACCAGCACAGGACAGTACGGTATCCTACATACCATGTGTCCCTTTCATTTTGGCTATGATACCGGTACCGGTACCATCTCCTTGCTGGCGTTTCGCTTGCCATCGACCCCAGCGGGTAAGTGGATTACAAGGTACTGCACCACCGATCCGAGCAGAAGCGCCATCTGCTTGTCAATGCTGTATCGTATCAGTATCACACAAATACTGTACCGTACTAGTACTGTACTCGTACAGTGCGAAGGTACCCATAACCCCAGTTAGACGGGGGAAGCTCCCGGTTTACCGTAGGCCATCGTACCTATTCTTAGGGATGGGGTGGGGGGCAAGAAAAATGGTGCTCGTAAATGTATTTACAGTAAAAAAACACGCAGCAGTACCGGTATTCCCGTAACGGTTACGGTGCTCTGCATACAAGTTCGAGTACTCGATAATCACAACTCATCAAAAGAAAAGAAAGGAATCCATGCTCAATGCTGCAGCCGGGCGATTCTTCCGGTTGGCTCCTGTTAATGTCGAGACTTGTCTCCTTTTTCTCGCCTGCTATCGTCACCGTTTCCCGCTCCCTTCTTCCCTCTTCCTCCCCGTTTTTCGCTGCCTATTAGATCATATCATACCGGGTAGTGTACTGGAAAGTACCTTCCGTACCCGCTCGTTTCGTTTATTTATTTCTTCCCCTTCTCTCCCCTCCTCTTTATCTCCACTTTTTCCCCCTTCTCTCGTTTCTTCACTGTTTGATGGTTCGGTTTGCGTTCGTTTATTTTGTTTGGCCCTCTATCCGATTTGTCCCCTGCGGCTGAATTCACGCTACGGTTTCCATTGGGCCAACCCAAAAATGGGGGAAGAACATCAAGAGTGCGCCTCGACAATTCCTCGATCCCGGGCTGAAGCCCAAGATGGTGCCTCCCCGCGAGTGGTTAGGAAAAAGGGTAGCTTGAGGTCGATATTCGGTTCCTTATTTAAATCGACAAGGGGTAAGAAGGCCAATAGAACTGGGTCCCGGCATCTAATTCGAGAGGACGAGGCTGGTGCTAGGAATAAAGGGAATGAGGCACTCGCATTTTCTACCATTTCTCTCCCAGCCCAACTTCGATCATCGACATCGTCCACCTCCTCGCCATACGAGGATGAGGATGAGGAATTTAGCAGCAGCATTCCACATACGGCACATGGAGAATCGCGTAAAACGCGCTCCACAGCTTCATTGCCAGCACAAACCCGGCCTCCGTTTGCATTCCATGCGCATTCATCCTCCTCCTCTTCATCTACCTCATCAATTGAGTTTGCTCCTGATGCATTTACAGCAGCAACTCCCCCGCCGGTGTCGTCTCCTTCTGCTTTGGCCAGATCCACATCTTCACAATCAATTTCCACCCTGAATCGCTCGACAGCTTCTCTGTTCGGCACTCCCTCGAGGGAAACCAGCCCCACCAGGACTCAATATTCGATAAAATCACCCAAGATGTCCAAGCGAGCGATGGAAAACTACAGCAAACAGCCCTCGCCCTTGTCAACTGTCATGGACGCACACTCCCCTTACATACTTCCAACAGCCCCAAAGCCGCCCGTGCTAGACGAAAGGCCCAATAGTTTTCGGTCCAAGCACAGGAGCTCGCTGAGCAGCTACATTTTACGTCGAACACAGTCACACCCCGACCTGACAGACTTTACGACGGATGATCTCCCGACATTTCTCCAGATGCCCATTTCGGCGCCTACTTCACGGCCGGGGTCATCGAGTTCAGCTCTGTCTTCTCGTACGCTTAGTTTGCGGCGGAGGTCCGGTAAGGCTGATATGGAGGTTCCGACGTCTTACTTTACGCAAGAAAAAATTGAGCACCGTTTAATCTTGGGGGCCGATCCAGCGGGGGCAGGGTTCCATCTCTATCCCACGCCACATTCGGGATTTTCCAGTAGGCGGAGTAGCCCTGGTAGTAGTTCTGGCGGCTCACGATCCCGTTCGTGGGAAAGAGGTCCAATGGGTAGAAACATGAGCGACGATCCGAGAAGAAATAGTTGGACCGGACCTGATGGGCACAATGTTCACGGCATACCGCCGGCGGCCCGAGGGTGGAGGGATCCCAGAGGGGGCCGAAGCTTTAGGGGAGGTGTCACGCAACAGGTTATTCTGGAGGAAGTTGGCGATGCAACCGATTCTCCACAGAGTATGTCTTCGTCTTTGTCAGCACCAAACGTCGATAGTCAGCAAGCCGTTCTAAGGTCGGGAGGTCCCTTGGATCAGAATCGATCACCAGATGTGTCTAAGAATGTGCCTATTTCCGAAAAGAGTGAACGCAGGCGAAGCCTTCACAATAACTGGGACTCGATACAAAGTCAGATGCGAATCCACGGGGGTGACTTCCCGCAGCTCCAGGTTCCCCGGGAAACAATGAAAGAAGAGGGTGATTTGGATATGAGTGAGAAGATGGCCCTAAGAAGGTTACAACAGGGAGCAATAAGGTTCTTGGATGCTTCTGGCGCGGATGGAAACGGCTTCCGTGGGACTCCTGTTACAATTGAATTCGGGCATCCAAATGGATTGTCCGCGGTCGGCAAGGGTGGAGGTCTCATTGACAACTTACCGGTTGTTCGGATTGAAAGCGTCGAGGGTTAGGAGCGTGTGGTTCGAAATCGCGGCCTTTGGCAAGAAGAGGGGTGTGACTTTATGGGGTGGGATCTTTTTGTGACTGTGGCAATTGGGGGAGGGTTTGCGTTTTCTGCCGGTGCGAAATTGAGTTGGTCCATTGAATTGGGATCACCGGGAGCGGCTGCATGAGAAGGCGCACACCACTACAACAATCATGGGGGAAAACATGAACGGGCGATTGACAGCCTGCAGGTGGGTTGGGTTGACGGACAGAACTATGGAGGGAAAAAAAGAGAAGATAACCGTTAGCTGCTCGAGTACATGATGCTCAGGGGCAACTCTTTTGTATTCTTGTACATTTTATTCTTCCTCTTCTTGCACATTCATATGCTATTGATATCCTTTTGATAACATTTTTTTTTCCTTTTTGTTTTCCTTCCAACTTGGTTCCTTTTTCCTCGTTGGGGGTTGGGGGTGTTATGTGCCGACAGCGAGCGATTTTCCTGAGCACTATTTATTTTATTCTATCACACCATTGTAAGGCCGTTCGCTCTTTCGATTATTTCCTCCTAGCCACCTTTTCCTACGCTTCTTCACTTTTTGTATTCTTTCTATCGGTAATTATCTTGGAACCGGGAGGCTTGGCGAATTCTGGCGTTTTTCACTTCTGTCTCTTCGTTTTCAAAACTTGGGAGAAGGTTCCTCCCCAAAAAGTTTCTTGGTCTACCGGTGTTCTTGGGATTCTTCAGTGGCCTAGTTTGTGTAGTCTAATGACTGTATCATACATAGTCTTTGGCAATGCAGATTGGATAAATGGTGACCCGATCCAGTCCCCGATATCATGGTGCAAGCACAGTGCTCGAGTAGCAGTAAGTAGAATAGGGTACTAGTAAGAGCACAACACCTGCACCCCACCCCACCCGCCTTGCACCAGCAATAAGAGACCCTATGTAAGCTATAGCACAGTACTTGTATACGGTAAGTTACCTTGCAGGGGAGCAAATCACTATCCTGCACTGCACTGTACTCGTGCTGTACCGTACAGTGCAGTACAACCCCACGCATGGCATGGAGAGAGAGGTCGAGGGAAAAACAAAAACTCTAATATAGCGATACAGTATATCATGAACCCGCACGAGTACCGTACCGTACTAGTACTCGAGCGCTCGAGTACAGCACCAACAGCAATAGTGCATCATACCGGCCAATCCATCCTCCGCCCCCCCCCCCCCCTTCCCATCCCACAGTGCCACGGACACAGTAACACAAACACACTTCCTCCCTCCCATCCGCACCCCCCCCCCCAAATATCCCGCGAGTCCGGTTCGACTGCACAGGACATTTCTGTCTCATCCACCGCTACATGATGAATTACCGTGCCGTAGCCTACAATAACCCCACTATGATGCCGTATGATGGCTCCACCAATACTCCACCATATGGAACCCGCGTCCCTGCGCCAAGGATGGGCGGCCTTTTTCGAATACGGTATAAGTCAATACTGGTATGATAGTTGCTACGATATAGGTCCATATTGTATGTTATGGGTACCGTACAGTCCAGTATTGCGCTCGTCGTACAGTGCAAGCAATATCGACACTCATCTCATGCTGTACTCTACAGGGTGAACGGGTGTCGGTTTTTGGCTCTGCCCTTGCATGCTGTAAAGTTGTATACTGTACTCGTACACTGTGCGGTACCGATAGTCTAGTTGTATAGTTTTGCGAGGAGGCGAAGAGTGGTACTGTACCGCTCAGGAAGATGTCCGCCGTCGTATCGTTTGTCTGTCTGTTCTGTGGTGTGTTGTGTGGTTCTGTTTTGTCCTGTCCTGTCATATTCTATTCGGTTAGGGTTTTACGTCGTGTACGAGTACAGTACTAACTCAGTGCTGTAGTGGTTCCAATGGGTCCTACCCAATCATTGGGGGATTCGGCAAGGGAATTTAGATTTCAGTATTCGCCGTGACATTGCTATAACACGGTAATGTATGATGTTATTGAGTTGGTGTGCGTGTGCACGGTACAGTACCGGCACAGTATTTTCGAGAAACAGAGCGTTATCATTCCTGTACCGAACTCGTATACAGTGCTGTAATACCTTGAGGTTCGTTTATTCGTCGCTCCGGTAATTTATTTATGATGGTGGTGGTGTTATATGATGTCCGCTTCAGCTACGGTAATAACCCTTTTTTTTTTTTCACCGTTCGTTTGGACACCGAGTTTGTTTCCATGATGCCCTCTCCTTTCACCTTCTTCCTTGGTGTGGTACAGTGATACCGGTATTATGTATGGTACAGGTGTGGTTACCGTTATCGATCGATACTTTCTTCTTTCCTTCTCGTTGAAAGAAAGAAAGACATTTCCTTTTTTTCTTTTTTCATTTCTCGCCCGATTCGTAATACCCCCCCCCCCCCACACACAGCGCGAGTAAAAGTAACCCATACGGCAACTGGTGATAATGTCAAGTTGTTTTTTTTTCTTCTTTTTTTTGGAGGCCGGTTTCCTTTGGTACTCGAGTATAATACCATAGCCCATTTTCGAATTCTTGGCCGTTGGTGCTTTTTCTATCGTGTACTCGAGTATCGGTACGAGTACTGTGCCAGAATTAATCGAGTCTAGTCCGAAATGGAGGGGGGAAGGGGGAAGGAAAGGGAAGGGGAGGGGAGGGAAATGGTGGGGTGCATCGCAGTACCGTACTGCAACTGTAAGGTCGCTGTGGTACCGTACGCAAGTGGGTGAGTGAGAAAGAGTGAAAGAGGATGGACGGTACGGGATTGGTACGGTAGCTTGCTTCTGCTACTGCTGCTAGGCGGGTTTAGACTGTGGAGTTGTGATGGACTGATGGGTGTGGATGGATGGATGATCGAGTACTCGTAGAGTAGGGTAGGGTAGGGTTATGGAATGGAATGCTAGGGAGTCGGGGGGGGGGGGGGTTACCGGTATGATACATTTGATTGTCATTATCCTCGAGTACTTGTACTGGTATTGTATGAGTACACGTACGGGAGGGAGGGGAAGGGGGGGGATGTTCTGCACGTCGGTAGGTATTCTCCTTTGGTGGGTTTGCGTTTGTGTGGGTTGGTCATGGGGGGGGGGGTCTCTTGGGATTTGTATTTCGGGTTGCACTCGGGTTTTCATGGGATTTTTGTTTGCTTCTATGAGGCGATTGTAGGGT